CCTCAGACAAGCCAAGCCCTAACCTCCCACAGCCAGCACTGGTGCCAGCAGTCACAGGTCTGTGTGTACCTGGCAGGGTCAGGGCCCAGCCCTTACATACACAGGGTCTTGTTCAGACCCCAAAGGTCCTAGGAGAAGCAGTGAAGAAGGTGTGCCCATCACAGCCCTAGTCAGCCTGCTTTGGGTTCATTATAACTGTGCCTACTTTTACTCTCCAAAGTATTCATTTTATTGTTCCCCGAAAACACTTTACAAGTGCTGACTCTGGGCCTCCAGGCTTTGAGATGATGATGTCACACCTAATATCAATAATTTGCCACGAACTAAGCATCTTGAATTCTGCTGAGCATTCCAGTTGGGTTCACACAGGGAGCAGTTTTCTTTCAACTTCTGCCTTGAAGAAGGGGTGTGGAGCAATAAATCACACTCCCAAATGGTTGCTGTACCCCTGGGAGTATAACCCCAGGGCATGGGAGGTGGATTGCTGTTTGAACAGCTTGACACAGGGCAGCCAACACCCTCCCCACAAGCATGCACACAGGTACGCCCACACCACAGTGAGTTGTACCTTCCAATAGCTCCAGGGGCTGTGAATTATTCATCAAACCAGAATAAGGTTTTTATTATACTCAGTCTATGCCCTTTATCCAAACAACATTTATGGCAAATATTAAATACATTCAAAATAGTCAAATACCTTAAGAAAAATAAGGGGAATTAACTGAGATAAACATACTGAGAGTGCCTGAGCTTCCTATCAGTCAAAATAAGCAGATAGAGTCAATGTGTTCCACAATCCTCATTGAAAAGCAAAGAATTTTCCAACCAAATTTGGAACAGGATTTATTGTATGGACTATTGTGGAATAGAAGATGTCACAGTAACTTTCCTCAAGTGCCCATTTCTGAATGACTTCAATCCTGGCCAAGGATAAATTTTAAAACCAAAGGAGGGGTGGTGTCTGTGAGAGCGGCCTGGCTCGGCTGGGGTGGAGCAATTGAAGGGCAGAAACTAATTGACCTCGGGATGGGTGATGGCATTTATCTTCCCAGGGTATCACTTCTCTTCACCATTGTTTTGCTATTTTTTTTTTTAAAAAGATTTATTTATTGATGCATTCAAGAACTGGGGTGCAGGCCAGAGGTGTGGGGTGTGTGTGAGCGGATTCACCAGAGACAGAGTGGGGAACAGAACAGGCAGATTAACTGAAATACACTGCTGAGGGTGTTACAGGGCAGCCCCGATACAAAACGGGGTGCCTGACTGTGGGTCCTCACCCGCGCGCTTACAAGGACTTATCAATGCTCTACTGCAGGCACACACGAAAGGTTAATAAAAGGTTTGTTTACAAGGGAAGGGCAAATGAGGAAATGTACAACTCAGGGAGAAAAGTGGGAGACAAAGTTTTAAATGCGTCCTACCCAATCCGCGGATCTGGAATCCCAAATGGCGCTCTGAGAGCTGGCCGCGAGCCACCAGCCGTGAAGCCAGGAGACGAGGGAGAGAGCGAGAGACCCCAAGGACCACGTGTTTAGTTTTTATACCACCCCTGGCTGCTTAACTCCACCCTCAGGTCCCAGCCACCTTCCCTTTGGTGGTGATGGGATTTGTCTTTCCCAATGTCTTGATGGCTTTGGTCTGGAGTGGGGGTGGAGTCCACAAAGCCTGCATGGAATTAGCTCAGGACATCTTTTCCCCCTAACAAGGGGAGCAGCGGGTGAGACAGGAGAAGTCTGCTGCGCCATGTGGGTAGCTCCTGGCCAGGGATCGAACTTGTGCTGCAGTGGCTGCGGATAGCTTCATGGGCTGCATCTTCACCCCTTGCGCCACCAGGGAAGCCCTGATTTGCTTTTTAAAATATGAATGCCAGGCGATATACCACAGGGCATGCAGCCAATCTTAACTAGCTGCTGGGTTCCAAAAGGAAATAACCACCACAGCTGCTCTAGGCCAAACCCTGCTGTTGAGTCCATCAAGGCTCTGGACCATGCCTCTGAGAGGCAGCTTGGTGGACTTTGCTGGATACTCCTGTGCCTGGTCTGCAGGAGACCCAAGGCCCAGAGACTATTTTGGCACCAGCTCCTGGGCCCACACTTATCTATTAGACCTTAGATGTTAATACACTCAGGGTGAGAACAGGTGACCACAGATAGAAAACTTGGACAGAAAACTGTGCACTTGGACAGAACTGGCCCAGCAGCCACCCCAGTGAGGAGGTCCTGGCTGCTCTCAACATCGTGGGCACATGGAGCCAGACAGTCACAGAGGAGAGGAATGGAGAAAATCAGATGCAGGGAGTACTTAAAGTCTCCTTTGGGTTGTAAACACTGTGTCAGCATTTGGTCTCAAGTGCCCAGCATAGGGACTTAAAGGATTCACAAAACAATTTTTTTTTTTAAACACTCTAGGGGACTAGAGTCCAGGTACTGGGAAGCTGGAGGGGAAGAGATGGGTTGGGGCAATACGATGGGAAGAAATGGTTGCTACAGCTCCTTGAGGTCTCGCAGGGCAGGCCACTTTCACAGGCTTGTAGGGATGAGGAAGGGAGGATCAGAGGTGGGCCTGTTGACACAGTTTCTCTCACCAGTGGTCAGACTGGCCCCAGCACCTCTACCGACCAGAAGAAACTGTAGAAATCATCTAGTCTACCACATGCATTTACTCTGGAAGCAACCAGAGCTAAGGCCCAGAGATAAGAGAGAACTGCCAGGAGTCTGGAATCATGTTGTCTGGGTTTGAATTCTGTGATTTACTACCTCTTTTCCCAATAGAATGTAAACACTGTGAGGATAAGGATGTTTCCTGTTTTATTTTCATCAGTACGGTACTATCAGTTCCTGCAACGGTGCCTGACATATACCCAATGCTCAATAAATATGGCACAAGACAGTGCACGCAACCATCAGCGAAAGAAGGCTGCAATTAGCTGAGGTTTTCTGTGTCACCTGTGGCTCATTTACTTTCAATGCAAGGTCTCAGTTCTAGGGAGTCCATCAGGAAAGAGGTAGGAAAGGAGCTGTCGCATTACTAGGTCAGTCCCCAAATGCCAGGCATTCTTATTTTCTGGCTTTCCAGAAGTTATTCCACATAAAGGTCTCTTTTCCTCAATGCTACATTTTTGTCTCTTTGAAGCAATCATGTTCCTTTTTTGCCATAGTCTTGCAATGAAAGCCACAACACTGATTTCTATTAGCAAATACTCACCAACCATCCATGTATAAGGCACCACTTAAGAGTCAGCAGGACAATGTGATACTTAAGCATGTACTACATATAAAACATAATACTTAAGCCAGGAGTTAGAAGGTATACAAAAATAAGATGGCTTGCTAACTTCAAACATAGTCATGGGCAGAAAAATGAAGACATAACCAAGTATAATATGCAAGGCAAAAGGAAAAACCTTAAAATAGATGATGTGAGCAAAGTGGTGTAGAAACTCAGGGAAATCTGATTTGGATGAAGGCTTTGTGGAGGAGACAGTATTTGAACTGAGTATTAAAAGAAATGCTTGGCTTTGTTTGAACAAGAAGGGAAAGCTGAGAAAACAGCAAACTTAAGGGTATGAAAACACTGAGCCAATGTTACCTCATTAAAAAAAGAAAACATCGGCATGTTTCCGGGAGTAGAAAGGGAGGGTTGGAGCCTGTTAACAGATACTCTTGACTGTTAAGCTAAGGAACATGGGCCATGCCACAGGCACCTGTCTCCTGAAGATTTTTTGAGGGTTAAGTATTTCACCAACTTGCATTTTTGGTCTGCATTTTGGCAGTAGCATATACAACAGTTCAGAGAGGGAAACTGAGGCAAGGAAGACCAGTTATGAGACTGCAGCTACACGATGAAAAAAGGAAGTGGGTCTTCATTAGGGCAGAGGATGTGAGAAAGGGGTGGTGTGGGGGGTGAGGCATGGGGCCTGGAAGCAACTGAATTTATTAGGAAAGGAAGGAAATTTAAAATGAATTTAAGGCTTCTGGCTTAAAAATGTAAGGAGGTCAGTGGTACTACTACCTAAGACAAGGAACACTGTCTGATTTTCCAGAGATTGTCTGAGGTGCCTAGGAGACCCCAATGGAAGCACTCAGCAGGCAGCTGGAGACTGGTACTATAGAGAGGCCAAGAGTACAGTTGAAGTTATGCACCGCTGGGAGTGAAAGGATCCAAGCAAGGAGAGAAAGGTGGGTGGGCAGAAAACTGGAAGGAGAGACCAGAACTGATGGGGGAAAAGTTAGGGTCATAAGCATCAGAGAGCTGAACAGGACCACGTAGGGGCTCTTTCTGCTGATTCTATTACTCTCTCATAAGGTAAATCCAGTGCATCATTGAAGGTGATTGTGTAATCAGTGCTGCCAAATGGAATTTTCTGCAATGACTGAAAAGTTCTATGTCTGTGCTGTCCCACACAGAGGACACCAGCCACATGTGTGTATTGAGCACTTGAAGTGGGATACCCGAAGAACTGAATCTTTAACTTTAGCGCCAAGCTCCTGGGTTTTCAACAGCATTTACATATAAGTCTATGTTTCAGATGTGACTTGTGCTGAGGGTCAGCAGAACGAATACCAAATAGTTTAAAAGCTTTCTTGGCTGCATGCAATATATTGAAATTTTTTAAATGAATACCATTTTGAATGGGTACTTAATTCTCAGTGACTACTCTGAATGAATTGGCTGAAAGGACAACTGTTTGTTGCTGCGAACCCCCAACAAACTGTTTATTTTAAATGCATTTCACCATCACCCACCTCACTGTAACCATTCACGTTTGCCATCCCCCTCCCATCTGAGATCAGTGCAGGAACTTGCTTTGCTGAGGCCAGGAACATGGGCTGTAGGGACTATCCCAGGCATGTTGGCTCCCTTGCCCTGTGCAACCAGCCGACTCTGCTGTCCTCAGATGTAAATCCACCACTGGATGTTCAGATCCCAGGCTCCGGTACTCTGAAGCCATTGAAAGGTCTCTTGCTTCCTTCCCAGAGAACTATTTTATACACCAAGAGTTTTACAAAATCCAAAATAATTTTATTCACTTTTTCAGAGTTTTGCTTCCACAAGGTGTTCAGCAAACATGCTAAGGCGACAGAATGTCTAGTTGGTCACGACATGCAACGCTGACCATTCGACTGATGACAGCAGCGACCACGCCCACCTGAGCTACTGGCCCCACAGCACAAAGGGGGTTTGCGGGAACACACTGAACCACACGGCGATCAGCAACCTGAGGTAGGTCTCTTTACAGTACAAAAAAAAACTTCTACACCAGTGTGAGACACTGATTAGCAAGAGCTGCTAAAAGTTGCAGACTTTGGAGAGAGGAAGAGACTGTGCGACATTGCAGTGAGAAGGGAGAAGAGATCCACGAAGTCCTGAGCCCTGTCACTGAACTGTGGAGGTGTGGGGCCAGGCCAACGAGAAAGTACCACCAGAAGAAGCAGCAGCTGGCTCCAGGACGCGGAACCCACAGTTTAGGAGCTGGAGAGCTCGGTGCAGTGGCCAGCGTTAGGAACCTGAGGCAGTGGGACACTCTGTGAATAGACTTGATTCTTGTTTATAAACAACAGCAAAAAAGAGAAAGAAGGCAGGAAAGAAACTCCTCCCAGCCAAGGAATGGTTCTGAGATTCTCATTCCTGACGGAGGGAGTGGACAGGGGGCTGGGGCTCGGCCCCACTATTCTCCTGACAGAAACAGTGAAGTGACAACAGGACAGAAGGCAGGAGCCCTGAGAATTCACGGCGCTCCGCGTGGCCTCCGGGGCACCCGACCCCACTGCCCGGGAGCGGCTGTGGAGACTCGGCAGAGGGGGCCGAGGAGGGCCCACTATTGCCACAAGTCTTCCTTTTGGACATCCAGAAAACCTGGCACCGTGAAACAACCAGCTAGAGGACAATAAGCTACCCTTTCTACAGTCTAATAGCAAAACCAGATCTCTAGTACAGCAAACTGTACAAAAATGATAGAAAGGAATTTGCACTGTTATTAGCGCAGTGCTGATTTTAATATAAAATAAACGGCTTACATTTTCACTGTAAATATAGGCTATGTACAGAATTATATATAGAGCTACACGTATAAAGCTTCATTATAGGCCTCTGATACATTTATAATAACGGTTCCCTGAACCTTTGAGAGTGCAATTAAGGACAAAAACTAAATTTTGTTTACATGAATATGGAATAAATACAATAATCAAAATATGACTCTCCCTAAAAGTGAAACACACAAGCCAATCCTGAACTGCTGTGCGAAAGATAAAGTTGGGAAAGGCAAGGTTTCGGCAGGAGGACAGGGCGAGGGCCTGCCCCAGGCAGGGAATGGCGATGCTCCAAAGAAAAGACCTGGGCGGCGGGGAGGAGTTAGCCCTTGACAGCGACCTTGTTCTCTGAAGCAGCAAACATGGCATAGAACCGGGAGCTGTCGTTGGACAGAAGGACGGATGGGGTGTCAAACTCCACCACCTGCAAAGGAAGGAGACAACATCAGACAGTGACTCAGGGATACGAGGGGTGATTCAGAGGACCTGCTGCTCAGGAAATGAGGAGTCTGGGGGTGGAGAAAACCTAAAGCACCCCAAAGATGGATCAGGGTAACAATTCAATTAGCCCTGACACATCCAAATGGATCCTTTATTTTATTTTTTTAAAGATTTATTTATTTATGCATACAAGAACTGGGGTACAGGCCAGAGGTGCGGGGGTGAGAGGATTCACCAGAGACAGAGTGGGGAGCAGAACAGGCAGACTGACTGAAATACACTGCTGAGGGGAGCAGCGGGCGAGTCAGGAGAGGTCTGCTGTGCCATGTGGGTTGCTCCCTGGCTGGGGATTGCACTTGTGCTGCAGAGGCTGTGGAAAGCTTCATAATGCTGCATCTTAACCCCTTGTACCACCAGAGAGGCCCCCTTTTTTTTAAAACTAACCAGGACATAAGGGAAAGGGAAAAGTTAGGGAGAAAGACTGCTGACTTTCTTCACATAAAACTCAATTTTTTCAGACTTGGATATGAAGGAAACAATGAACAAGGTCCTATCAACTGTAGGGACGAGAAAACCACAGCTCAAGTCAAAGGCAGGCAGACAAATGTCATTTTGCTGTGCAAGCAGATCTAGACCTATAGATGGAAAAACTCAGGGAACCTAGTCGACAAAAAAACAAACCAACAAACAAAAAGGGAAGTAGGAAATGGAGTGATGTCCTGGCAGTACCTGCCTCCATGGTAAAGGCTGAAACACCAACCCTCACTTTCCCAGCCTCTGTGCACCACAGCAAAGGCAAGGGACACATCCTTGGCCAAGGAGATGTCAGAAGTCTCCTGGGGGCTTCTAGGAAAGGCTGCCTCACACATAAAAACAGAGGGTCCTTCCCCTGACGGGCTGGTGAAGCAGGCTATATTGTGCTAGAGCAGGCACCCAGTGCCAGGAGGGGAAAAGCGGGCACTGGCTGGAAGCTGATGCAGAGCCTGACACTGCTGATCTGCTGAATAACCAACCCTCGGGCTTCCTGCCATGCAGATAATAAACTCCTACTGTCAGAGCCTCTTTCAGTCGGGTGCTGTATGTCCTACTGTGTGCAGCTTAGCTGTTGGAGTCTGTGCCCCAGAGGCATGAAACACCCAGCAGGGGTAAATAGATGTGTCACCAATGCTTATCTCAGGGGGCTAAGTGACTTGTGATCTCGTTTTTTGGCCTTTATGCTCCTTTTGTGTGTGTATTTTTAGGCTTCTCTAAAATTACAAGGAAATTTTAATTAGCAAGAGAAATAAAGGAAGGGAAAGAGGGAGCCCCCCCATAAAAAGCCAATCATTCCCCATTCTAAAACATCAAGGCACCACCCAAGGAATGAAGTGGACTGAATGTGCGTCTTTAAGAAAGAATTTTCCAAAAGGGTTTCTTTCTGTCTTTCTTAAGTCAAAAGAAAATGGTGAATTTAATGTAATATATACATATGTTGATTTATAATGATGTTCACCTGAAATTTACATAATATTAAAATGCAGTTGCTTTATTTTTTTATAGATTTATTTATATATGCATACAAGAACTGGGGTTCAGGCCAGAGGTGTGAGGGGTGAGAAGATTCACCAGAGACAGAGCGGGGAACAGAACAGGCAGACTGAGGAAATACATTGCTGAGGGGAGCAGCAGGTGAGACAGGAGAGGTCTGCTGCGCCATATGGGTATCTCCCTGGCTGGGGATCGAACTCAAGCTGCAGCGGCTGCATATAGCTTCATAGGTTGCGTCCTAACCCCTTGCGCCACCAGGGAGGCCTTTATATACTTTTTTAAAAAAAGGTATTTTCTTACATCATTGTTTGTTTTTGTACAATATTTGATTTCTCCTCTCAGGTGTGCTCCCACCACCATGGCACCTATGACCTATCACCATAGTCCCAGAAGGGTTTCATAGTGCCACTATGTTCTCTTTTATAGCTACGTGCAGGTATTACATATAGCTCTGTGTATCTAATATATAACAGAATCTCAGTAAACAGGAAAATGCAAACAAAGATAAAAACCACTAATGATAAAATAATTTTAAGATGAGAAAAGTCACTAACTGCTCTGTTCTCTCAAACTCAGCTTTGAAGCCCAGCCTGAATGTTCCATGTTAAATGCTTTTCTCTGTTTCTCTACGTACGCAGGGAGAGTGCAGTATGGCAGCTAGAGGCACAGGTGCTGGAGTCACTGGTGTGAGCTGGGCCCCAACTCTCACTTCCTGTGGGCATAAGTGTATGATTTAAGTTCCCTGAGCCTTAGTCTCCTCTTCTGTACAGCAGAGTTAATATCTGTATCTTCCTTAGTTGCTAATAAATTACATGTAAAGCATTCAGCACAGTGCCTGACAGATAAAAAATACTCAATTAAAGTAGCTGTTATGCTAACCATTATGATTAACAACAGAAAACAAGCTATCCATCATCACTGGCTTGTTATAAAAGTAATTTACTTCTATGCTCGGGTACAAAAAGAAGGTATTTGTTCAACATAAATTTACTTAACATCTACCATGTGCAAGAAACTGCAGTACTGAGTCCTGCTGGGGGCCTAAAGCTGGGACTGCTTCCAGCCTAATAGGGGTTGGGGGATTGCACAACTACTCTCAGGTGAGGCAGAAGAGCTACAAGACAGGAACAGAAAAAGCTTAAAACAGCTGAGGAATGGCATTTGAGCCACATCTTTCTTGAAGGAGAAGTGAATTGTAAGCAGATGGATGTGGGAGAGTAAGCAAAAGGAAAGGACATTTTAGGTAGATGGAAATGTGTGAGTAAAGACACAAAGGTAAAGAAGCTTAGTGGACGCAATTGTCTATGGCCAATGGCACTGCAAGTTAAGAATGGGAAAAGAAGAAGGGTAGGCCGGGCAAGTTTGAACAGCAAGAAGTCTGATACCACTATCTGATTGCACAGAATAAGAGGTGGCTGGCCTCAACATGACCTGGGCAATTCCTATGTGTGAGTGAATTACTAAGTACACATGCTCTCTGACCTAAGTCAAAGTACACCTACTGGCTGTTCACAAGCAACAAAGGAACAGATAGTAAAGCCAAGAGAGCTTTGACTTAATCTCTTAATTGTCTCAAGTTGCTACGGCAACTTGAATGCTCCCAACTGCACTAATATGGCAATCAGACCATCCCTGCCGGGGCCAATTTTCCTCCCAGACAAGACTATAATGCCAAGCCAAGTCCCTCGGGGTGCAGTACCTGTCCCTGGGCCAGCACCATAATCCTATCGGAGCCTAGGACAGTATGTAGGCGATGGGCAATTGTGAGCATGGTGCAGTCGGCAAACGCTTCTCGGATGGTCTCTTGGATCAGTAAGTCTGTCTCTGTGTCCATGGCAGCTGTAGCTTCGTCTAGAATCAGAATCTAGGGAAGAGGGATCCAACCAATTCTGTAAGCATTCTGAAATCTCTAGGTTTCACTGAAAGATATTATAGTATTTAAATACTAGGCCATCTATTGTTTTTCTCTAACTGGTACACACATATAAAAACACCATTTTGGTTAGAATAGATATAATTTCAAACCCATATTCTTGCCTTGATTTCTACAAATAGAAGGATATGTGTGCAATTTTCACTTAGTAAAATACTTGTCCTTACTTGTTCTGGGACAACACATCATCAATCATTCTTTTCTAGTTTATAAAATGAGGGGATTGGACTTGATGACTAGCTGTCTCCTGAGGTTTTAAAATCTTTTAAGACTATGATTTCCAGTACTATAACTATTGACTGGTCAGAAACAAAAGTTGGCCTTGGGAACTGAAGGCTCAGAGAAGTTAAAAATAAAAACAAAAGATCAAAATCAGCCAGATAGCCAAAATCATGTGAAGGCTAATTTAGAAACATCTCTGGGCATGCTCTTAAGAAAGTGCCACTGGGTCCAGAGCCAGGAATGCTGATGGATCTCATGCCACAGGGCCGCTCTCCCCTCCCCTGCCGCACCCCATTCTGCACTACCTTACAGTGACGGAGCAAGGCTCTCGCTATGCACAAGAGCTGCCGTTCCCCCACTGAGAAGTTATCCCCATTCTCCATCACTTCAGATTCAAGTTTCAGAGGTAGCTGAGCAATCTAGGATAAAAGGAATTGACATTAGAAGGGGGAAAAAAATAATAAACATTGAATAAATCTCCAAATCTAAATTGTTACCAAAAACTCAGTGACAAAAGTAAACTATTCCGAAACAAATGAAATGATTCTTCACTCAGAACCTGGCTGAGCTAGGGAGAAGACATGGGTGTAACAATCATGTGCACTAAGATCCACATTTTCTAGGACATTTCATATTTTTAGGTGCCTCCTACCATCAAAATGTCCTTATAATTCCAATATTTTCATGTCCCTAAATTCTGTCAGACAGAGGCCTTAGATTTTGGTTCTGAAGATACTGCCATGCAATAAAAGATAGGGTGAACAAAGTTACTCTTTCTCAAATCCAAAGCTGTGGGCCCATGGCTGCTTTTTATAAGCTCTAGAGCCTGTTCTTTGAATGAAATTGCTTGAGAAAGCCCAGTAAGAGATAAAAGCACAGTTGATCTAGTTGAATTAGGGCAGGGGATCCTGACCCTGATTCAACCAGGGGCACCAGAGAACCTACCACAGACTAGGAGTGTCATTTGGTGGCCTATGGTCCCTGAGGGGGCTGCTGAGTCACCCTCAGAGGCATCTGAATCCATAGGCATACTGCATGTTCTCTGCAGACTCAAAAAAATGCACTTGTAGAAATGCTCCAAAAGCAAATTATACTGTTTATGATTAATAAAAACAGAAATTGAAAAGCATTACTTGAATTGTGAGTGGTTGTCATTAAAATCTCAATCAATAGATAGTAAAAAGGGCCATCTGAACACGGGTGGTGGAGGAGGAGGGGAGATTGCAACTTCTTTTTTTTTTTAAAGACTTTTTTTTTAAGATTTATTTTTATTTATTTATACAAGCACTGGGTATAGTCAGAAGCGCGGGAGGGTGAGAGAATTCACCAGAGCCAGAGCAGGGAGCAGAGCAGGCAGAAGGACCGAAGTACACTGCTGAGGGGAGCAGCGGGCTGCAAGAGAGGTCTGCGCGCCATGTGGGACCCTCCTCCGGTGGCCGGGGAGCAGCCAGGGATCAAACAGGCGCCGCAGAGGCTGTGGGCAGCTTCGCAACCCAGCGCTCAACCGATGTGCCACAGGGGAGGCCCAGATAGCAACTTTTTTAAAAAAAGATTTATTTATTTATGCATACAAGAGTTGGGGTACAGGCCAGAGCTGTGGGGGGTGAGAGGATTCACCAGAGACAGAGTGGGGAACAGAACAGGTGGATTGACTGAAATACACTGCTGAAGTGAGCAGTGGGCAAGACAGGAGAAGTCTGCTTTGCCATGTGGGTCACCTCCCTGGCTGGCAGGAAATTGGGAATTGAACTCACTGCAGTGGCAAGCTGTAGCTTGACAGCGCTGTCTTTAACCTTCATGCCACGAGGGAGGCCCCAAGATAGCAACTTTTATGCCCTTTCTGAAATGCTCCTCTTACAGAAGTAGAGGGAAAGGCTGGACCTAGGCAGCCAGAGCAGGTTGGGGAGTGACAGAGGCATCTGTGTTTCCGCCTCTGAAATTCCAGCACAGCTCGCCCTCAGCTCTTTACTTACACATTCTTTCATGTGTGTCCTTTCTAGGGCATCCCAAATCTGGTCTTCTCTGTACTGGTTGAAAGGATCCAAATTTGATCTAGGGAAAAAAACAACAGGAAGTTCTCAGTCATCCAACACGTAAGCAATCAGGTTGCAAAGACTAAGGTGACAGCTGAGAACAACCAGTCTCACTGAGGGGTGGTTTATCTGCTCCTGCAGACAGTCCACAAGGATGAAAAACACTCCAGCAGGGGCTGGTTAGGCAGAGGCAAGGAAGGGGCACTCTGGGGAGAGGAAATTATTCCCAGGACCATGAAAGAAGGAAAACTGGCAAAAATGTTTAGGGCCCAGAGATGAGGAAGAACCTCGCTTGTCAATTACCAGGGCCAAAGGTGGAGGAAAGGGCCTGGCCACAGAAACAGGCCTGAGTCAAACCCAGACAGCTGATGTGAGGGCTGAGTGCAGCTACTGCAATGGCCTGAAAGGGATGTGGCCCCTAACTATCTCGTCTATGATTTAGATTATATTTGCACATTGCTTTTATTTACAAAACAAATCAGAGATCTTTACCTATTGACTTTCCCTGAGTTTCGTTGGTATGATTCTGTTTTCACCTTGCTCTCTAAGAGTTCAAGTCTGAATTTGCTTGTTGGTGTCTTAAGATGATGTGCCCACCCCCAAGGCTGATTAATGGCCATGGGGATAGTTTCCAAATTCAGTGTCTCTCAGAAGCAACTAAGGACACAGCTGATCTATCCTTAGGAAACTCATTACAGACTTTCTCATTTTCTAAGCAAAGCAAAAGAACACCAAAGCTAAATGTTCTTTGGGATCTGTAAGAAACCTGAGATAATAAAAGGAGGAAGATAGAGAGTCTGGGATTTAATTTGTCCCCAGACTCTACTAGTGGCTTAAAAAGTGAAAATGACAGCTGGCAGAAAATGAAATTTATATGATTTTCTGAGTGTGCTCAGCTGACTGCCCACACAGCACTGAGCTCAATGACTGACATCCGGGACAGCGGTCCTGAGCCATTGTGCCTGTCCACAATGTGACGGCGTCTCTGGAGTGTATGACAAACACCCTAACTTCCAAATAAGTCATGTGTCTATCACCTTCTGTAAACCCCAGCTGCACGTGTTAGCAGGTCATTCTTCACCATGAACTCAAGAAGTTCAATTCACAGACCCAAAGGAAGAGCTATAAAATTTTGTAATAAAAACAGGTTTCTTGGAGGAAGCATATTCAAGAGAAGTCTAAAGTTTAACATGCCTTATTTCCTAAATCTCTTCAAAATAATGATTTTAAAAAATGATTTAATGATTTAAAAATAATGATTTATAAAAGTTTTATAGACGAGGGCCTCCCCTGGTGGCGCAGGCAGTTGAGCGTTGCACTGTGAAGCTGTCCGCAGCCTCTGCAGTGCCAGTGTGATCCTGGGCGGCTGGCGAGGGTCCCACATGGCACAATAGACCTCTCCTGTCTTGCCCGCTGCTCCCAGCAGCAGTTTATTTCGTCAGTCTGCCTGTTCTGTTTCCCGCTCTGTCTCTGGTGAATCCTCTCACCCTCCTCCACATCTGTACCCCAGTTCTTGTATAAATAAATAAATCTTAAAAAAAAAAAATTTATAAATGATTCTCTGTCCCGAGTCAAAAATTACAAGACCCATTTTATTCTCAAAGGCATTCCTTATGGCACCTAAAAATAGAGAATTATGGGAAAGGAGAGCAGATTTGGAAACACCACTCAATTTCTTATTTTTTTTTTTAATTTATTTTTGCATAGAAGAACTAGGCTATAGGACAGAGGTGTGGGGGGGGTGAGAGGATTCATTAGAGACAGACTAGGGGGCAGATTAGGCGGATTTACTGAAATACACTGCTAAGGGGAGCAGCAGGAGAGACAGGAAAGGTCTGCTGTGCCAGATGGGTCAGCTCCCTGGCTGGGGATTGAACAAAGGCTGCTGCAGCTATAGTGCTGAGACTTAACCCTTAGGCCACCAGGGGCTAATTTTAGACCTGTGTCTAATTCTCTGATGTAGCTTAGTTCACCTTGCTATCACAATACCCAAAAGGAAATATTTATCATAATAGAGCCAGTCGAAGCTGTCCAAATTGCCTAGTGTTTTAGACAAACACCAAAACGAACCTACCCAAGAGTGTTGACCACACATGAATGTAGGTGAGAACTCAGTTAACCTACTAAACCTTGGGTCAATGAATTCAAATGTCATTTCTGGAGGAAAAAAGGGGGCATGCCCAGTTTTAAGTTTACCAATATTTTTGGAAACTGCTAAAAATTAAAGAGAAAATGGCAATATTACTTTTAGACGAATTTTTTAAAGAGGTAGTCCAATCTAAGTCAACTATCTACTTAAGGCTGTTTTTATTTCCAAAGAGAGGCAATCTAAGTAGAAATAGTTATGAATTGTGGAAAGCCTAGGAGGTAAAAGCTTCAGGCTTAAGGTAGAATAAGTATAAGAAAAGATACTGGTTAAATATATTTCGTTCTATTTTAACAGATCAAGAAGAGAAATTTTATCTTGGCATGCTGGCAGATTGTAGCGAGAGGCATCATTTCAGAGTTAAGTATCAAAGGTGGGGAAGATATTAGAAATGAAAAAAACGTAAGTACTGGTAACGCCCGAAAACGTCACTGAATTGCAATTAGGAGAGAGGACAGTGTGGAGCAGGGGGTGACGGAGGACAGTAGGAGGCTGATGAGAGCAGCAACTGTCTATTGAATACAGTTTACCATCACCAGCCTCTGGGCTTGCAAAAACTTCAAAAATTTATTAGTAGGTCTTAAGGTCTTAAGAACATCCCCATTTTGTGGATGAGAAAGCAACTTGGTGAAGCCATGGAGCAGAGATCTGAGCCCAAATCCCTCTGACTTCCTTTTTATCATGTCACCGGGCCTCTAGGCCCCACACAGTTAAAGAAGTGGTGGGACAGTGGAGCTGCCCTTATCTCCGCTACAGGAAGCATTTGGTATAGTGGGGCAAGCTCTAGACACAGGCCGTTAGATCTCAGTCCCGGATGGAGGCTCAGCCATACCCACCTGGCCTCAAAAGGAAGCCTGAAGCACGTGGTGCTCAGGCGCTCACCTGACAGTGCCACTGAATAGCACTGGCTCTTGAGGAATGATGGAGAGTTTGCTTCGGAGGTCAGCAAGGCCAATGTCGCTGATTCTCACCCCATCGATCTTGATGCAGCCTCCACATAACTCCACCAGACGGAAGAGGGCCATCCCCAGAGAGGATTTCCCTGAGGAGGCAGAAGACATGTAGGAAAGTAGCTCAGTTAACAAGTTCTGTTAAGACTATTTCTAGTCAATCATTATTCTCACTGATTAGCTGAGAGAATGTATGATAGCGAGAAAGGGAAAAAAAGATGAACTTTCCCAAGCTACCAAGCTCTGATCTCCAGTACAGTTTTTGAACTAGTTCCTTAGCTGGATGTCTGGTTCCTGACTCTCCTATCCTCTCTTGCCTCCATGTTCTGAAAGACTTCTTCTGAAAGCTTCATGATATTGTCTATTCAGCTGAGGGTACAAATACCTGTCTTGCCTCAGGGTCTGCAGCTGCATCCCTGCTGCTGGAATTTCTCCTTTGTCGGACTGCTGTCAAACACCTAACGGGGACCTCAATTAATGTCCACCTCCTGAAAGCTTTATTTAGGGCTGGGGATCGGGTAACTGTTCCATGCTCAGATGGGAGGAAGAGGGAAGAGTCTCCCACAGAGGCAAGAGAAAATGCGTTGCTTTAAGCTATAAGCTAAGGAAGGAATGGTGCGCGAATAAATAAGTTGTTTCCCATTAACAAAAGGTTTGAGCCACTGAGACTACAAGAGGTTACAGATCTCTGATTCTAGACTACTTTTGGACTGATGGAATGTGCTGGCAAAAAGGTAATAACGTCCTAACATGGTGTCCTTGATGAAGACCATGGAAGACCTGGGTCTATGAGCCTTGGAAGAAACTTAATAGGATTAGAGTAAAACTTTGTAAGTCAGGTTACTTATTATTATTTCTTTTTCTAGCTTATTTATATTCTGTCTCTTATAGTCTTTGTGACAGACTTTCAGTCTATCCTACTTATGTTAAAAGAAAGTCACGGGAAGGGGCATTAGTCCACAGTTTCAGGAGGGAGTGTTCTCAGGAGAGCAGAGTGTCCCTGGGAACCAACGTAGCAGAGGAGATTTGGGGATGAGCAAAGTAAGATGTCCTTGACTGACATCAGAGACTTTTGTCTTTTTAATGGCAAGAATAAAAGCTAAAAGAGTTCTGATGCCAAAAAACATGGAGACCAGAAAACCAATGAGAACTGGAACAGAGAACCCTTCTAGACAAGGGTACACAGGCTAGTATCAGAAGACAAGACTCAGTGTTTGAAAGGTTGTTCAGGAAGGAAAGAAGGCAAGGAAGAAATTACCCAATTCTTTACCCTAGAAATCTAAAGGGCATAATAGTAATATACTTCTAAGAATAAGAGTAAAGTAAAACACTTAAAACAAAGGCCAATTCTCTATTTCTTTTCTTTTTTTTCTAAAGCTTTATTTTATTTATGCACACCAGAACTGGGGTATAGGCCAGAGGTGCAGGGGATGAGAGATTCACCAGAGACAGAGTAGGGAGCAGAACAGGCAGATCTACTGAAATACACTGCTGAGGGGAGCAGCAGATGAGACAGGAGATGTCTGCTGTGCCATGTGGGTTAGCTCCCTGACCAGGGATCGAACTCACGCTGCAGTGGCTGGTGATAGCTTGATAGCAATAAGACTTTAACCCCCTGTGCCACCAGGGAAGCCCCCAATTCCCTATTTCTTTACAACTGATCAGATGAAAAAATTGTGGTCTTTGAAGAAACAAGGAGTCCTTATTTATAGTTGTTTTAGCATCTGAATAATGTGGGGCTACACCAGCAATGTATCACAAAGATAATTTTTTTTTATTATTTTTTAAAGATTTATTTATTTATGCATATAAGAACTGGGGTATAGGCCAGAGGTGTGGGGGGCAAGAGGATTTACCAGAGACAGAGTGGGGAACAGAACAGGCAGACTGACTGAAATACACTGCTGGGGGGAGCAGCAGGTGAGACAGGAGAGGTCTGCTGTGCCATGTGGGTAGCTTCCTGGCCAGCTGGGGATTGAATTCGTGCTGCAGAGGCTGTGGATAACTTCACAGTGATGTGCTTAACCCCTTGTGCCTCTAGGGAGGCCCCGTTTTATATTTTTGACTTAAAAAAAAAATAAGGATGATCACTATGGTGTTACTGATAATAGTGAAAAATTGATAATCCATCCGAATGCTCTACAATTGGGGACTGGTTAAATAGGAATCATGACTCATCCATCATAAAATAGAATTTTATAACATGCTGCATAGAAATCCTATCATAAAACATTCACTGACATGGAAATACACTTGGTAGTTCTAAAAGCAGGTCAGGAAACTGTGTGTGAATGAATCCATTTTTGTGAACATAGTTGTTGAGAGAATATTCGAAAAAGATACCCACCATAATGTTAACAGTAATTATCTCTGTTGGAGTTATGGGTGGTTTTCCTCATTTTCATTCTACTTTATGTTCCAAGAGCTCTATATTGAATATATACTTCTATCACTAGAAAAAGTACTGGATGTTATAAAAACAGACTTAAAAATAGACTTGAAAGTTGGTTTCACAAAAACCCGAAACAATCACCCATCAAACAGAAATCTGGTTTGAAGGGATGAGAGTGATAGTCAATTAACAGCAAATCATAGGTTGCAAACGTTCCTCAGAGAAGTTTCAGTGTTTCTCCAGAAAGGCTTTGCAAAGCCTTACCTGATCCTGTCCGCCCCACAATTCCAATCTTCTCCTTAGGCTTGATGGTAAAGGACACTTTCTTCAGGACCAGAGGGAGATTTTCTTGGTACCTCATCTCTGCATTCTCAAAAGTCACCTCTCCTTGCTGGGGCCAGTCAGGGGAGGGAGCCTTGTTCTTAATCCTGGCAGGTGCTTCCAAAGAGAGAGTCTGGGAAGATAGAAATGGCCAGTACAGACTGAGTGCAGCAGTTCCTGGATCAACTTCAAGGCTCTGTCATGGAGATGGAGCTCCCTCTGCCCCTTGCTGTGAAAGACCACCTCGGCAGGGATGCTTGTCACCACCAAGCTAGACAGAGCACAGAAGCTACTATGTTGACACTTGGCAGTTTACCACAGCTACTGAACAGCAGCTTGAGGACAACAGCAGTTTCTAAACCACCTTCTGCCTTAAAGAATTGTTCCATGAAACTGCGGGTAGCCAAGGGTGGGGCATGAGGCCTCCCATCTCTCTTCAATAGCAGTTTTTACTAGAATTCTTTGAAAACATTCCACTTGTGACAGGATCCCACTATTTAAAATCCATTAGCGTAAATCCAAGAGAAGGAAACTAACATTGGTTCACTATTTTATCAACTCAAGAGACCTGGACTCTAATCCCAATTCCGCCATTAGTAGTAGTTGTGTGACTGGTATATCACTTTTTCTTTCCAAATCTTAGTTTCTCACATGCAAATTGTGAGGATTAGACTGAATAATCTTGGAAATCTACTCCAGTTTTAAGATGCGGTGTTTAACACAATTGGTTGGATAATTGCTGTCACCAACAGAGACACCTCACAAAGCTTTAAAAATCTCTGGTGACTAGCTATGGGGCTTACAGCCTTAGAGGGAAGTACGGATCAAAGACTAAGGTGTTTTGCTGGGGTATAGGTGAAGCTAAAACTCCGAGCTGGAAGGTTCGGTGTCAGCACAGGTATCCAGGTTGGGGACTGGAAGGGGAGCCAGTTCTTAGAAGTATGACTGGTTTACGTATGTTCAGCTATGTGTCACAGTTGGTTACCATCCTGATCTCTCCAACAGGACACTCACCAACACTACCGGTGCATGATACACCCACATGTCACTCAGATGCCAGAGCACTTTAGCAGCTATAGCAGATACCCATCTTCCATTCTTCCTGAGTTTAATTATTACTAAGTTTGAGAAATATCTTAAAGAGGGTCAAGAGGTACAAATTTCCAGATCTATAATAAATAAGTCTTGGAGATGTAAAATACAGCATGAAAACTACAGTGAATATATCTCTGAATATTTGAAAGTTGCCGAGAGAGTAAATCTTAAAAATTCTCATCACCAAAAAGAAAAAAAGAAAATACTTGGATATTTGTATGGGGATGGGTGGTAACTAAAATTATGGTGGTGATCACTAACAGTGTAGACAAATAACAAACTACTATATTGTACACTGGAAATGACTAAGCTGTGATATGTAGATTTTACCTCAAAAAATTTTATATATTCTATGACTAATGAGGCTCACTGTCAAACCAATTAGTCAAAACTCTACTAGAAAACAACTTACATAGGCCACTTATTCTCAACTGAATGGGTTGTTTTTCAAAACTGAAGTCAATTATTTGGAACTTGAAATGTATTCCTTCTATACCATCAGTGACATAAATGTTGATGAGGTCTGTGATAAGTTCACAGAATAGGTAACTCTTCAGAACTGATTTAAATTTGCAAATCCTAATGACTATCATAATTCTATTTCTCTTTCAAGAAAATTATTTTCAGAGTTCCAACTAGGACACCAGCAAGCTGCTGTCCTACAGCAAGACTGCAGGGAACTCCAAGGGGAGGTGGGAAGTGTTATATAGTGTTAGTATCAACCAAATCAACAGCTTTCAAAACCGTAAGTGCAGTTTAGAATTAGCTATGGAGCTTTTAAAGCTTTGGAAGCCTGGGTCCCACTCCAGACCTACTGCATCACAATCTCCAGGGACGGAGCCCATGTTTGCCTCTGCTTACAGCTTAAGAGCAGATCCTGATGGCCACCCCTGGTTAAGAACAAGTGAACTAGACTAAGATTTAAAAACAATACATGGTTTTAAACAGTAGGAGATAAATATTACATTAGTTTAACTGAACTAACAAGATTTATAAACATGTTGGAAATTAGCTCATGAATATAAGTTCTCAATCAGATACAATTCATAAATGTATTTAGAAAGTCTTATCATCTCTTTTCCACTACACTGTGCTGGAGAGACTGGGAGATAAGATAAGGCAGGACCTTGCACAATCAGGACCCTATGAAGGGTCAAACTGCAGGAAAAGGCCTGAAGCAGTCTGACCTTGATATAGTGGTTGATCCTCTCCACGGAGGTGAAGCGAGCTTCTGTCTCAGATGCCAGTCTGACAGTAAACTGGAAGAGCCCCGTTAACTGTTAACAGAAAGCAAAAATCCAAGAGAGAACTCATTATCAATATACCCCAGGTGAATGCTAGAAAATGTCCTTCTTCGAGGGACCACAACTCAATTATTAAAACTAACTGCACAGAAATAAGCCAAAACGAAAAAGAAAAATACCGGATGGTCTCACTCATAGCAGGAATCTAGAAAACTTAAATAAGGGACCAAGAAAATGAATATAAGAAAGTGAAAATCAAAATCAACAAAAAACTATGAACCAGAAACACTTTTTGGGGGGTGGGGGGCGGGAGGGGAAGGATTGGGGTCAGAATGGGGCGTTTGCAATTGTATGGGGGAATATAAAAATAAAATTTAATATTAAAAAAAAAAAAAAACACTAACTGCACAGACACCAGACTGGGCCATTCTCCAAGGATGTGAGACAATGCCAATTATCCCCTAGTCAACTGGAATGCTCAATGAACACAGTTGGCACGTGTCTCACTGGCACTCATCTTCCTGCATCCTAAGCCTTTCCACCCACCTCTACCTATCTATCTGCAGCTGAATAACTTCTGGCTTCATACTTGTACCTGCACCTGTTGTGGCAGTCACAACAAATGGAAATATATATCAACCTGTAAACAACCAATGGGAGTGCTTCCAGGAAGGTCTAATAAGAAAAATAAGACTGGCCAAAAATGAGCACAGAGCCCTGTGCACCTCAGACTGAGGACTCTGAGACACAGCATATGGACCACAGATTCTTCCCCATCCAATAATCAAGTCAGTCTACATAATGTGGAGAGATACCTCTGGGAATCTGTGAAGACACTACCTCTCAGTTGCCTTTGGCTACTTATTTATTTTTATCTTTTTTACCTTTCCAATACGGAAAAATGTCAAACAAACACACCTGCACATAACATCCACCTTAAAAAATTGCCAACTTATAATCAATATTGTTTTATCTGTACTACTTCCCCTCCATATTATTTGGAAGCAAATTTTAGTTATTCTACCTTTTCATTCATAAATATTATAGCTTGTATATCTCTAAAATATAAAGATTCCTTAAAAACATAATACTATTCTCTAATTTCATTATCACATCTAAAGAAATTTATATTAATTCCTTAACATTCACTATTTAGTCATTGCTCAAGTTCCCAATTGTTCTTTTTTTTTTTTTTTAGGTAAAAAAAATTTTTTTTACTGAAGCTGCAGCATCTGCTTTTGTGTTACATTTGGCAAAAGCAAAACAAAAAACACCCCCCAAAGCCCTAAATTGTTCTTTGAGCTATTTAAAGATCATCAACCATCTCTAGGAACCAAATGGTTTACACAAGTAACAGTACTTGGAAAATCTGGGCCTGAAAATAAAATACATATAAGAAGCATTTGGAGGATACAAAATGCTTCTCTGAGGAGATTAGGAAGAGGCCAGAAGTGAAAGGATGGTGATCACAGTAATCTACACTCAAGAGACTATTCTCAAAATCATGTCCATGAAGAAAACAGCACCAATTTCTTGAACATGTACAACAGTTAAATCCTTTTATTCCTACACACCACTCCTACCTGTCTTCTATCCTTCCCACTCCAGCCAAGTCCCTATTGCTACAACCAAAGCAAAGGAGCAGAAGTGCAGGAGTCATAGTTCACCGACTGCTTAGGGCAGAGCCTACTACAGTGATTCTCCTAGGTCAACAAAGGAAGGACTCAAACGGATAGAGGATGTCCCCACTGCAGAGACCGACCTGGACAGCATATGAGATGGCAAGGCCCGAGTAGGCTGGGGGGATCTGCCCGTGCATGAGAACAATCATCAGCCCAGTAGTGGTGATCAGGGCAATGCTGATGAGGTCCAGGCGCACAGCCAGCCACCGCATCGCACAGGTAAACAAGAAGAAAGGACCTTGGTTGTTATCCAGTAGTTCCTGGTACCTGTGTATTAAACAAAACACTTAATAAGGCAAGTAAAATAAACCCTGGTCATGGATGAGCAAAGCTTTGGTGAATTTGGATGGAGGGCTAACATTTAAGTACTTCCTTTTTGTATGGACAAGAACAATATGGAAATTTTAAAAGTGCCAGGTATTTCAGGCCCCATGCAGGGGAGAGTATGGAATTTCCCAGTTTTACCCTTTCAAAGAAATATTTAAGATGTCAGGGAAAATATCTACTTTAATAAAGATATAGCGGCTGTGTTAAGCTTAAGAAAAATGTCTTAGGTCAGAGGTCATTTTCTCAAAGAAAGAGAGGCTGTAAAGGCTAATGGTGGAAATGGTGTAAGATGAGGAAAAAGGAACTTTCAGATTGAATATAGGAAAGCTGGAATTGTTGGCTGACATGATCACTGGGCAGAATGGTGCTTGTTGGGGACTACGATGATGGAAGAAAAAAAAATTCGCTTAATAAAAAAATTTATTAAAAAAAAAAAAAAGGAATGGTGCTTGTTTACCAAGGCCATGGAACAAACAACCAGGAGCTGAACCACAGCAAAAAAGACTTAGACTTTGACATCAAAGGAGCAAGACACTGCTGACTTGAGCAATCCTATAGCACGGATTGGCCTCCATCCAGCGCTTAGACTCCTGCTCAGAGGTTTAGAGCTTCCTGCTCAGAATCTAAAGCAGGAAGTGTTGCTGGGCAAATTGGTTTCACTTTTCCTTACAGTAAGATATATACTTTTCAGAGAATATTTAGAAAATGCAATAAAGGGGAAAATGCAAACATGCAGTTAAAACTGAATCCAATATTCTGCTGCATTGCTTCCCAGCATTTTCCCAATGCACTGACATCTATGTGTCCATGTCTACATGAACACAGTAATTTTTAATTTGTACTTAAGGTTAGGCATGGATTTTTCTGAGTTGTTTAATCTAACTTTTCAGTTTCAGATTTTCTTTGAAAAAAAGTACTTAATTTTTGGAATAGACAATAGATATCCAGAATAAAATATTTTTAAGTTACAAAAGATTATACCATGAAAAGGTCTTTCTCCTACCTTTCTCCAGCAAGTCAGTTCCCCTTTCCAGTGGCAACTATTAGTTTCTGTGAATCTTTTCAGAGATATTCTAAATGTTCTATGTATACCAAAAATTAACAATGTAAGATAATAAATTTGATAAAAAATACTAGATGAGTGAATCACTGAAAAAAATGTTATATGTATAAACACACACTTAAAAGGTAATATACCACACACACACCCCTACACTTGCTCTGTCACTAACAGATCATGGAGATCAGTCCACATCAGTACCTCCAGAGCTGCCTTGTTCTTTCTTGCATTCTATTATATAGATATAGTATAGTTTATTTAACCAGTTCTCTACTGAAGGACATTTAAGTTTGTCCTAATCTCTTGCTAATACTACTCTCCACAATGACTACCTTGGTACATAAATTTCTCAAATAAAAATATTCAACAACTAAATAAATGTTAGTCTAATGCCAATGGCTTTTATTTTTTTTTTTAAAGAAGATTTATTTATTTATTCAAGCACTGGGTACAGTCAGAAATACAGGAGGGTGAGAGAATTCACCAGAGCCAGGGCGGAGAGCAGAACAGGCAGAAGGACTGTAAACACTGCTGAGGGGAGCAGCGGGCGGCAGGAGAGGTCTGCACACCATGTGGGAGCCTCACTGGTGGCCGGGGATCGAACCGGCGCTGCAGAGGCTGCGGGCAGCTTCGCAGCCCAGTGCTCAACCACTGCGCCACCAGGGGAGGCCCTAATGACAATGACTTTTACTGTTCAAAAAACATATAAAATTCCATAAAATATAGTCATTCAGGGTTGAATATCAATAGATGGTAAACCCATGCTTTTGTTTTCTGATTTGCTCAGAGGGAGTTTTACCCAGCAAATGACTTTCAATCGGAGACCAATACATCACTGATAATCTCAGTAATGTATTTTATTATCCCTAATCCTGACCCTCGAAAGGCCTCTTAGACTCTCATTACATGCTGGGATGCTGGCTGCCCTTGAGTCCTCTCAACCTCATCAACACTAACCTGTGCAGAAAGTCCTGCCCTTTGTTGTAGGCGTGGATGGTGGCCAGGCCCTGTATGCTGGACGTGATGTGGGAGAGGAAAGGGGACTGCGTGATATTATCCAGTCGCTTTAGCTCTCGAATCAGGACCCTGGAGAGAGAATGAGTTCTGTGTCAGAGTGGTGGGCTAGTAAATCTGGCTTCATCCTTTGCCCTGGAAGACATGACCACTTCCTATTTACCTGGAGACAATGTGAAGAACTGAAAAGAGGATGATGAGGGGCCCCACCGCCACCAGGAACCATGGGAAAACTCCAGCGATCATTCCAACACAGAAGAAGACCAGGAAAACATTTTGGATGAACATTTCAGCCTGGAAAGGCAGGCGCACATCAACTGGGAAAACCATAAAGGAACAGTGTCAGATTGAGGGGATCCACAGACAGGGTATGGAATCAAAAATTTAAAAAAAGGGGTTCCACAAAATCCCTACCTGAATTTTGTGATGTTTTCTTTTTAAACAATCTGATCAAAGAAAAATCTAGAAATCTGGTGGTTCTAATTTTTCTTGTCCCAAGAAAATTTAAGTGATCTTTCTTTCCTGTGGCCTCTGAGTGGGCTCACTGTGAGGCCCACCCCCTTTAAACATCTCCTCCCCTTTACAAAGTAATACATGTTTCTTGGAAAATATATATGCAAAAAAGAGAATAAACATAATAGTAAACATAATCTGTATTCATAATCTTAATGAACTGTTGATAATATTTAAGAAACTTTGCATCATGGAAAATTTTCAACACACAAAAGTTGAGAGACTCCAACAGTTATCCACATTTTTCTTCATGTCCTTTTATTTCCTTCCCTCTTCCCCCCCAGTTTTTTTGTGGGGGTAGTATTGAGTATTTTCATGCAAATCCCAGATTCATTGATACCACAGATTTTTTTCTTTCAGTCTTTATTCTCTCTGTGTGTATGTGTGCATGTGCATATGTGTGTGCATGTGTGTGTAACAGAAGTGGGATCATGTGATGCATCAGTTCTGTGTTTCAGAGATAGTTTTAATCCCTTGTTACCTCTGGCTGTGACTTTCCACTGGCCTATCAACACCTGAAACAAACTCCTTCCATGAAGGCAGCACAGTGTAGTAGTTAAAAATAATGGGATTGAACAGATCTGGGCTTGATTCCCAGCTTTATTATCTAATAGCTGTGCAGTCCTGGGCAAGTTCTTTAACTGTCCCAGACATGGGCTTTCTAGTGTATTCAGTGGGTGAAATAATACCTACCTCACAGGGCTGCAGTGAGGATCAGAACATTCAGCTCACTGAGTGCAGTAAGCTGGGTAACACTGCTTGTTAGTGCTATATCCTAAGTCCCCAGAAGTGTCAGGTGGCGATATTGTCATCCTGGGGTGTGAGGAGCTGGCACAGCCTATGCAACAACTAGAAAACCTGCCAGAGGTTACAGGTGTCCAGAAATCAATGTGCTTCCTGCAAGTAAATCTGTGTTTTGGAATCTAAGTTAATACTATCCAAATTCTTTATGCTAATTAAGTATCTGAACTTGTTTTCAGGTTAAAAAAGATTGCACGGGAACTTAAATGAATGGTGAAAAACCAGATGGGTCCTTTACTTAAATACAAGTGGCACCATGGACAAAATGTCAACACTAAGGCATTTCTAATACACATACCAGAAGCCACTGTGCTTCAGGATCTAAGGCTGGAGAGAGAGCCACACACGTTAGGAGCTATCAAGAAGGCTTGTGCTTGGGAGCCTAAATGCAAGAAGCAGTGAGCAATACCTTCATCCATGTCTTTGGAAAACCTGTTCAGAATCCTCCCTGTGGGGGTAGTGTCGAAAAACTTCATAGGGCTTCGCAGGATCCTTCGGAAGAGCTCATCATGGAGCTGGGAGGAGGCTCGCAGTGTGCCCTATGGAGCAGAGCACAGAGTGATCAGGGCCCAGAGCCCCGGGAATGAGGTGCGCTGCTTCCACTCACACAGATCACAGCTCTGTGCACAGGCATCCCCAAAGCTGGAGAAGGGTGAATGGTCATGGGGGAAGGAGGTGACTAAGAAAAGACTGAGGCCAATGAGATCCGGGTCAATTCAGTTAGGGCCATCCTGCTTCCCACAGCCAGGGAGATGCCATGCTGAGGTCTGATACCCTGTCACCCAGAGAGAGAAGGAGCAGTGATACCCCACCTACCTTGACAAAAACAACACCTCGAATGGCTTTCAGGATCAGCATGACTACCATGGAGAGGGCGTAGATGCTGACATAGTACTGCATGAAAGGGTTGTCCTTCATGCTGCTGCTCACAGAGGTCTTGTTCCCGTGAATCACTGTGGTATTCTGTTGGGAGGCAAGGCTCTATGAGGCAGGACCCCTGAGGACTGCCAGGAAATCCCACCCCACTCAGGACCACTCTCAGCTCAAGGAGGATAACTCTGCTGGGTAAACACTGGCGAGCTTTGCCCCCTCCTTCTCTCTCAGTGGAAGTCTATTGGTAAGCTCTACTGCTCCATGAATTGGTCAAGGACAAACTGTCTTGTGAGGTTACATTAGGGACTCATAGTTTTGATTCTGGGTAATCCTCGTGCATTACTTCTTTTAACTGAAAACTAAACAGTTTCCCTAACAACAGCTGGGGATATGAGAAATGGCCACATTCTTAGACATATAATTTTCCCACTAGTGAGTAACCTTACCCCACTTCCTTGCTTGATCCAGTAACTCAACCACCAGGTGCTGAAGGCGGTGCTGCCCACATTTAACATGAAAAGGGACAGAATGAACAGGAATGCCAAGGGGCCCCCCGCAGCCTGGATGTAGACACCATATACCGACCAGGGCACTGAGCCCTGCCCCTTCTCTTCCAGCTGCACCAGCTGCCCTAGGTAAGAAAGAAACATAGACTCAAGAGAGGGGTTTTTCCAAAAGGAAGTCACCCCGTAGAGCATTAGAATCAAAGAGCCTAGAGCTTCACAGGGCTCTAGATTAGAACTACTTCTCCTTTATCAAAAGCATCCATAATCCATTTAATATTTACTAAGCACCTCTATGAACCAGGCCTTGGATAAGGCCTGAGGCAGTAAAAAGGATTAAGACCAGGTCCCTGCCCTTGAAATCTGGCTGAAAATCCTTCCATGGCTAGTAAGACAGGTAAATAAGCACATAATTATCATAAAATATTTTCAATGCAAAGCTAGTGCTATATGCAGAGAGGCTAGGGAACATCCTATCATGGAGGTATACCTAACCCAACTGGGGGAGCTGTGGGAGGGAGATTAGCAGTAAGGGTTCAGGGAATACTTTTGGGGTAGTCCTCACTGCATCTCAAAAGGTAAACTCGAGTAGAAGAGATGAGGAAACAATTGGCAGAGGAAATAAGTGTAGGTACAGAAGTGAGAAATCAGCTAAACAACATGTACAGACAACCAACTCAGCATAACTGGAACATTTTGTGTGCCAAGGAGTGGCAAAAGATAATGTTGGTTGAGTATATTGTGGTGAGAAGATAAATGGTTTTGAACTTCATCCTTCACATAAATACTTCTCAAGGGAATGAGGTAGAGATTTGACTCCCACCCCCAGGGTAGGTGGGCTGGAGATGACCAAGCAATCACCCCTGGCAGGGAGCAGGCACTTCCAGTGTCCCATACAGTGTTTTCCATATGTGCAGTATTGGGGGAAAACACTAGAAAACACTGCCTTGAACATGGGAGGCCACTGAGTCTTCGTACAGGAGAGTTGGCTGGTGGTCTTTTTTTTTTTTTTTTAAAGATTTATTTATTTATCTATACAAGAACTGGGGTACAGACCAGATGCGCAGGAGGGTGAGAGGATTCACCAGAGGCAGAGTGGGGAACAGAACAGGCAGACTGACGAAACACACTGCTGAGAAGAGCAGCAGGCGAGACAGCAGAGGTCTGCCATGCCATGTGGGACCCTCGCCAGCCGGCCGGGATCAAACCGGCGCTGCAGAGGCTGCAGACAGCTACACAGAGCTGCACTCAACTGCCTGAGCCACCAGGGGAGGCCCGGCTGGTCTTCTATTTTGTGTTAGATTTCTTGATCATCTGCATGAAGAGCAGATTTCAATGAAAGCAGCTTTAATGCTTTAGCTAAGAGGTGACAAGGGCGAGAATCAGGGTTGTGACAACAGAGGATGAAGTTTCAGGAAGCAAATTCAAGAGGACATGGTGACTGGCTGCAGGAGGAAAGAAATGGTTCCAGGTTCACCCCCAGGATCTCCCTGCTGTGCTCAGGTGCTATACCAACACTGGAACACAGGGAACCAGCCCTACATGAAACCTCGGCTTCATCATCTGTAATACCTAATTATCTTGGAACAACCACACATGGAGCACACTAAGAACTGTGAGCACCCAGGTGAGAGTGGTTATATAGATGAGAACAAATGTTCCCCAAGGTGTTCTGCTTTTCATACTGAAAAGCAAGAGCTGTGGCAAGAACTGACAGGTTTCTCAGTCTTCTGGGCTATTTGTTTTGTGTGTTTAAGTAAGGTGTCTTAAATCAAAATCTCATACGTGATTTACTAACAGGAAAGAGGCAAATGATGGTCAAGTCCTAACAAACGTCTGCTGCAGATTTCAGAACAAGGACATGAAAACAGGCCCATCTCCAAAGAAGAGGCAAGCCAGGAAAGGTGGAAGCTCCAAAAATCTGGGGTGAGGAAGTGCCACAAGAAGAGAGCTTTGAAAACAGGATGCTTTTTCGCACCCCCCCCCTCCCCGGCCCAAGTAAACTGATCTGCTGCTTAAAATTCACAGGGTAAAAATGCCTAAGGTATTACAAATAGCTTTTCCAGCTCCCAAGATTTGTTTCGGTTGATAGGATAAAGGATTTTTAAAAAGAGGACAAAGGACTCTGGATAGGGACAGCTAAGTAGGAAAAATCCTAGCTGTCACTCTTCGCAAGGCCCTGCTGCCATCTCCTGCGGACGGGCTGAGGAGTCACTGTCCTCTCCGGGAGTCACTAAGGGCATACACATTTTCAGAGCTAAAACACCTCTGCCATGGTGAGCACTGACTTGTAAAGAGCAGAGGTGAATCATATCTCCACCCATCATTCAATTTTTCTTATTCCAGGTGACTCAACTCTGATTAGGAAGAGAGGGCATAGGATTAAAAGTCATTCTTTTGCCTTGATTTGTTTAAGCAAAGAGAAGTTGTCTCATGGTCTCCTGCTTTTACACAAGAATTCTGTTATTCTAGAAATAAAAGGCAAGGTACTCTACAACACAAATGTCATCAAACAAGTAAAACTGTCGTACGATTTCTGATAAGCTACAATGACAAATCGAAAATCTCCAGAAAAGTCATTACCTTCCTCTGGCTTTGGTACTTTCTCCTTCTTGACAGACCCCGTTTTAGGACCTTTGTCTTGTGATTTCTTCTGTGAACTACTGGTTTCTTTTTTTGAATTAATCTAATATTTTAAAAAAAGGATGTTAACTTAGGGTGGTGAGCATTTCACAATACATACAAATATTTAATCATTATGCTGTGCACCTGAAAACAATATAATGTTGTATGTCAACTATAGCTCAATTTTAAAAAAAGTCTCCAGTCACGTGGCTTTTTAAATTGGTAGTGAAAAAAAATCAGAAAATAATAAAAAAATTAGAGCCCTATCCAGAATACAAGATAGGGCTCTAAAGTGTATATTTACCATAATGCATGACAAAGGCACTATCTCCAGAGAAAACTACCATTTGCTCACCACTTACTAGTGTAAGAACATCACATATTTATTGCATGTGTAACAACTCTAAGAGGGAGTTACCACCTCTACTTCTAAGATGAGGAAACTGAAACTCAAGAAAATTAAGTGACATATTGAAAACAGGCTCCCTCCACTACACCACAGTTCTCAATATTCTTTTGCTCCTTGGCCATTTCATATTTTAGCTTCTCTTCCTCTCATTTTCTCCTCCATGTCTACAGGGTTGAGGATATAATGTGAACGGTCCAAAGTACGCTGAGAGTCACTGAGATCATAAACCCAAATCTGGATCAGTGTGTCTAAGGAAGTTGCTGATAATACCTGGAATGTCTTAATGTCTTAGTTATATCTCTGAACCTTATTAACATATATAAAATCCTATCTAAATGAGGTTGGGAGGCTGGAAAGAGAATGCCCACACGTGCGCAACTGCAGCCAGCCAACCGTAGGACCCGAGAGGCCTTGTATCTCCCGGGGGGACTCGGGGGGGCGGGGGAGTGTTGCTGCTTCCCCTTCCCTCAGACCTGAGGGGAGGTACTCCAGAGATCCCAGGGGTGACCAGTCTTGGATTCGGGAAAGCACCCTTGGGTCTCACCATGAACACACTCTCAGATGTGCCCTCTCTTCTGTCATTTGTTTCTGAAGAAAACCATTTTGTTGTTGGAATAACCGATTGTTTTTGTTTCAGGTCAACATCCCTAAAGACCTGAAACACAGTGGTCATGAACAGTTAGTTGTATTGCCCCAAAATCAAACAGGATGACACCCAAAGACTGAAAAGACTCCCTGAAAAGGTCCCAGTAACTTTCTGCTTTCCTCCCTCTGAGACATAGAAAAATCTAGCAGCTGAGAAGCAGCCCTTAGCCCAGGCCGAGTGCACATACAGGACCCTATGTGACCACTGAACAAGGACTTTCATACAGACAGGCTGGAGAGGAGGAAACACCAGCTCGTTGGCAAGTTCTAAGCACAACCTATAATTTGCCTAACTCAGAGCCCTGAGTCTGCAAAGCTGCCGAGTACTCTGAGTAAGTGTCTTGTTGCCACAAGAGACAGGGCGGCAGGACAGAAAAGGCGCTTTGGAGTTAAACCATCCTTGTTAGCAAGCTGCTTAACTTTTCGGAGCTTCCGTTTCCTCAGCTGTCAAAGTGAGGGATAATCAGATTCTGCCACAGAGCTCTGCTAAAGTGACTAAATAGGATGACATCTAAAATGTCTAATCTGGCAATCAGGATACAGTGGATGTTAGTGGGTGTCAAGTCAGCAGCCAGGATCCCATGGACCATTTTCAAATGTACACATTCGTTTCATTTCTCTTCCCTGGCATCTTATTCACTTATTTATTAAGAAAGACGCCTCACAATGCCTCAGTTAGGACAGATGAAGCTTATGAATATGAGCAATGCCTGAACAACAGCCCACATGGGGCTATACCCTCCTCCTTGTCATTGCCTTATTAATAAGCTCTTGGTGACAGAAGGCCTCAGCACACCAGCCCCCCATTTCTGCTCTTCTAGAGTAGAACCAGGATGCACAACAGTCTGGTCTCCAGAAGCACAACAGTCTGGTCCCCAGAAAATAGGATCCCTGCTGTAAGGCATAGATACTGAGTCCAGCTGAGACCTCTCCACACTCCACCCATGGGTCCCTTCCTCAGACAGGAGGAGACACACAAAACTTACCTCAACTGGGGGTGTCTCTCCTAGCAACAGGTTATTGAAAATGGTAGCATAATCCCCATTTAGATTCATCAGTTCTTCATGGGTGCCTCTTTCTGTAATGCAGCCTTCTTTCATGAATATCACTTCATCACAATCAGCCAGGTACTGGAGACAAAGGTAGGGACAACACAGTGTTGCTGGGTTTGTGCAAATACATTCAAACACCTCCGCAGGCACACTTCGCTTTATTGTGCCTCACAGATATGGCACTTTTTATAAATTGGAGGTTTGTGGTGACCCTGTGTGGGGTAAGTCTATCAGCCTCATTCTTCCAGGAGCATGTGATGATGGTGAGTATTTTTTGGCAATAAACTAAGGTATGTATGTTATTTTTTTCAGACACAATGTTATTGCATACTTAATAGACTACATCGTAGCGTAAACTTTTATTTGTCCTGAGAAACCAAAAACTGTATGTGCTTTAATTGTGATATTTGCTATATTGCAGTGTCAGGAACCACACCTGCAATATCTTCAAGGTGTGCCTATACCTTAGTCCAGTGGGTCACATCTGTAGGCAATTCTCCCAGAGTCATCTGGCAATATCTGGGGACCTTTTGGGTAGCTATAATTGGGGGGAGGGGTACTAATGCCATCCATCTAGCAGAAGCCAGGGATGCATAAACAGCGCCCCCCACTCCACATAACAAAGAGCTATCTGGCCCCAAACGTCAACAGTCCCAAGACTGAGAACCCGTGCTTTAGTTTACTACAATGTAGTTCAGAGAGCAGTGCCTCCAGCTTTGGATATAAATCTGCTGACAGAGCCACCAAGCCTTGCCTTAAACTTCACATCCTTTCACTATATTCAAAATTACACATCATTAAAGACTTTCTGTGGTAGAATGGGGAGTTAGCCCCTCAAACTTGAGGACATATGCCAAGCAGATGGCAGCATCCTTGAGCTGCTCTCCGAAGAGGCTGCTTGTCACAAAATGACAGAGGGAGAAGAGCTTGTTTTCCCGAAACAGTTCCCACTTACATATAGATCTTAACACAATGTTTTCCAAACTATCTCAGACCCCCAACTCCACTCCACCCGCCTCCTCTCAGGCTTTGTATGCACTGATTTATACACTGAATCCAACATGCTTCCAGGATCTCTGTTCAGATGGCCACCTGGTATACTGGTACAAGATTTACTGGTACAATGGGCCAGAGGGATTTTTGCTGAAATGAATACTCGTGACTCCAGGAACCTCGAGAGGCCCCATGAAGTTACCTCAACCACCCCCACCTCCCTACTGCCTGAAGTGGGCATCTCGGGGAAGAAAGCACCATACCTGTAACTGGTGGGTGACAAACAGAACTGTTTTGGACTTGAGGTGCTTCTGGATAGCACTGCTGAAGATGTGGTTGCCCACATGGGCATCTAAGGCACTGAGGGGGTCATCCAAGATGTAGATGTCCCGGTCACTGTACAAGGCTCGCGCAAGGCTGATTCTTTGGCGCTGCCCACCACTCAGGTTGGCTCCTCGCTCACCAATCTGCAGGAACACAGAAAGCACAGTTAAGACTCCAGCTCAATTCTGAAACTGAGTTTAGTGGTCACGCCAGTCACCTCTTGATTCTCTTCCATCCAAACCAGTTTCTTCTCTTGAATCCCCCACCTAGAGGAAAGGTTATTCTGTTCCTCATGGAACCACATCAGATCTGGGGGAGTCGGTGCCGAGGCCTCCTCCTCTCTCACAACCATCTGGTTACCATCATGCCTACATCTGGCCTTGCTACTCCACCCTGCAGCCCATCCCAATTCATTCTCCCTGGGCAGAAAGGTCTTTCCAAATCAGAAAGCTGGTCACATCCCACCCTTCTCTTCAAGAATCCCTAAAGAATAGACTAAAGAATAGATTATCCTTTGCCCCCTGGCTCCCCAGCAGCTCTCGGCTGCCACTGGGTATCCCTCGTCTATATGCTAAGCCATTTAAAACTGTGTATATTATAAACACACACAACTACTGCTGTTGTCATGCCTTCTCTGTATTTTATTTGCTCAGTTCTGCATCTCCAGTGTGAAAACTCCCCCACCTACTCCTCTACTAATATCGAACAGAAAGGGGACTCGCTCATCAGTTTATATGGTACTTATTTGGGTGTCTCACCCTCTCAACTGTAAGGTTTTTAAGGGCGCAGATTATTGCCCTATTCCTTATAATTCCAGAGCCCAGCATTTTCGGCACACATAGCTGGCATCAACATGCACCTGATAACAGTGACTAAATGAACAGAAGAAATAAATCAATTGTCAAATATCAAAACACTATACTAAAGTCTTGTCCTTAAAGAAACACACAATTAATTCAGTGGTTTTCAATTCTGAGTATGTATCAGAATGACTGCTGAGTTTGTTCACAGATTGTTGGGTCCCATGCTTAGAGTTTCTGATTCAATAGGTCTGGCATGGGGCCTAGAAACTTGCATTTTTGATAAGTTCCCAGGTAAAGCAGAAGCTATTGAATTCTGCTGATCTGAAGCCACTGAGAACTAGTGAACTAATGAAACCATTCACCAAATCTGGACCGAGGTGTTTTTTTTTTGTAAATAGTGTTGCTATGTACAAAGGTGCGGATAGATATTTTCATGACAAATTTTTCACATTATTTGGATAGGCAACTAATAGCAGTATGATACTTCTCTAAAGAAGAAATTTGAATGGCCTATAGGCATATGAAAAATTTTGCAATTTCACTTATTATAAGAGAAATGTAAATTAAAACCATACTGAGATACCACCTCACTCCTGTGGGAATGGCTTATATAAAAGACAATGGAATTAACAAATATTGGTAAGGTTGTGGTGAAAAAGAAACTCTCATTCACCATTGGTGGGAATGCAAACTGGTACAGCACCTGTGGAAAATGTTAGGGAGATGTCTCAAGAAAATAAAAATGGACCGAGGTTTTAACTGAAGTCAGCTGAGTAAAAGTGACCCAGAGACTTCTGGAGCAGCTGTTGGGAGCTCATCATCAACACTGAACAGCAGAAGCACAGAGTTCCAAAGATGCCTCTGGAAACTGCTCCAGAGAGCCAAAGAGGACTTGTGCTAAAGCCACTTTCTTTTTTTTTTTTTTTAAAGATTTATTTATTTATGCATACAAGAACTGGGGTATAGGTCAGAGGTGTGGGGGTGAGAGGTTTCACCAAAGACAGTGGGGAACAGAACAGGCAGATCAACCAAAGTACACTGCCGAGGGGAGCAACGGGTGAGTCAGGAGAGGTCTGCTGCGCCATGTGGGCAGCTCCCGGACTGGGGATCTAACTCATGCTACAGTGGCTGCGGACAGTTTCATAGGTTGTGTCTTAACCCTTTGTGCCACCAGGGAGGCCTTAAAGCCACTTTCTTTCTTGGAAAAGGGCTCTCTACAGACTGTATCCAGTAAGGAAGTTGGCAGAGAGGGGAAATTCAATATGCACATGCTTGTCTTACAGTTTTAAAAATGAAAAGTGTTGAAAATATTAAATTGGAACCAATTGTGGGACTTGCTCAAAAACAACAGGATATGTGAAATATTTATATACTTCAAGCAGATAATGTGGTCACCTGTGCCCTAATGAAAAATGCTTTCCTAATATAAAATCCTAGTGAAAGCAAAATTTCCTTTGTGGTTCTTCTCCCATACATTTAGGATGCACTCCTAGGAGATGGCTTGGGTACAGCCCTGCCACCCCATATTCCAGAATCCTCTCTGCTAAACACATAGTCCCTTCAGGGACAGGCTATACCTCAGTCAGGTCACTGTTGGGAAGAATGGCCAGGTCAGGCCTCAGGCAGCAGCTGTTCAGCACAGAGTTGTATCTGAAGGACACAAAGAGACCGAGCATCAGTGCTTGGGTTGGAGCAAAAGGGGCTGTTGAGTCAGGCTGCCTTGCGTCTCACATGGCCACGATGGAAAGCATGACAGAAACCAAACATTTCTTGCCTTTCTTCATCAAATTCCTTCCCAAAGAGGATGTTATCTCTCAGAGTGGCATTGAGGATCCAAGCCTGCTGGGCCACATAAGCGAAGGTTCCATTGACTGCAATGCTGCCCTCTAGAAGTGTCATCTAGGAGACAGATAACCTCCAATGGCATCACAACTCACAACCATTACCCTATGCCAACACAACTCCCCACAGTCCACATGGAGTTGAAAGTCTCTGCAATTTCCCTGGATGCGTTTTGGACCCAAATTCAGACCCTCTTTGTTCATGGAGAGCGACAGCAGCAAAGAAAATCAAAGTTCTCCTTGCTTATGTGTTATGGGAGCCCAATGTCATCCATGACATGAATGAACAAATACCTCATTTAGCAACCCATAGGCTACTTGATATCCTCTCTTGCTAATTGCAAACTGCTTTAATTAAAGGAAGTACATGTGGAAGGCTCTTTCAGGATCCCCTGAGGAGGATACTGGAAGGGCTTTGTGTTAGTCCCTGCCTCAAGATGAGGGCAGACCAGCTCATCTCCAGAATTAATCCAGGCTGCCTCCTGTAAAGTGAGGACCAAAGGCTGGGGGTGGGGATGGGAAGGGGGTAGAGCACAGGGGTGGGGTGGGATAGAAATCCAGGTTAGACATCAACTAGTATTATAAAGCATCTATACAGTGAGGATGGAGATGTCCTCCAATGTGAAGAGAGTGCATGATGAGATTCAAGTTGTGTTTTCAGTCAGAGTGACAGATAGGAATTGATTGATTCATTTTACCCTTTTTCATGGTTCCTTTTGGGAGCAAAAGTTGGCCTCTGTCTCAGTTAGAGATGCTACAGCTTCTGTTAACCAATCTGTGTAGGACTTGCACATGCAAGCATGTCCGGTCAAACACTGTAACACAGTGTACACACACAGTGCACCCGCCCTAGACCATAATACAACAGTACACACCTTACTAGTACTACCCACAGACTGGTAAGTTCTCTGAATACCCTCAAATGTGCACAGAAACCCGCAGAGGGTCTCTCTGCTGCTGTACAGGCACCCATGCTCCAGACCAGCAACAGAGTTAAACTCCAGAGAAGCCGACCTGACCAGCAGCACCAGCCTCCGGGTCTGATAGAGGGCTGTCAGGATTTGATCCAGAAGCTAAGGCCCACTCAGTTTTCAACCCAACCATGGCCTACCCTTTACAAAGGCACATCTTGCTGGATTGCCCAGTAGCACTTAGAAACTGACCTCGTCTTTGTTTCCCCCACTTCATGCCCCCTCTGTATCTCATCATGGTTCATTCAATCTGACTGAATATTAGAAATTACTTTGAGGTGTTTGGTTTTTCACAAAGGCCAGCAGTTGGGCCACTGAAGAGTCTCATAAAGCAGAAGTAGGGGGAGACGCCCCTCAATCATCTGAACGCAGACTACCGTGGGTACCACCACTCCACTAAGTGACAGTGATGCTGCTGAACAAGTGTTGCTACAAAACACCCTCCACTTGTTTCAATTTCCTCAACATAGATAAATGATCCAGAGAATCCTGTCCATCTGGAGGTCAGAATAAGCTCAACCACCTAATCAAGTTTAAAAGCAGGTGGGAATATTACGGCGGTGCTTTTTCTTCTGATGATTTGGTTCTAAAATAGTAAAAGGTAGTTTGTTTTAGCTAGATGATGCTAAATGCTGACAGCCCTCTGCTGGCCCTTCTGTGTGCCAGTCATTTGCTGCCTGTGCTATGCTTGTGTGTCACAAGGCCTTGCTCCCTACGAGCCCATGAATTCCTGCAGTGCATAATTTTGTCAAGTGCTTCTAGATCAAGTCTTGACAGCTCTCTCTCTGACAAGGAGGCTGCTAGTGCTGAGCAGCTCTGCGTCTTCAGTGGTTTTTTTTGCACTGGGGGTGTCTGTCCAACTCTTATCTCTGACATTTCCCAACAGGCATATCTATGGCACTCGATAAACACACGATGAACACAAGAAAGCATAAGAAACAAATGATTTCACTGGGCATCAATCAGTCTTTAGTCAGGTGTCCACTGAGACCCTTTCTGGACTCTGCTGTTGCTGGGGATGTGGAGGTGGCGGGTGGAAGGTGAGGGGCTTGATTAGACCAAGAGTTCATTTTGTTTGCCCTTTCCCAACTCTCTTCAGGAAATAAGTTCATTTTTCCTGAGATTCTTGCTAAGCAGAGTCCAGAAAAAGAAGTAGAAAAAAAGCCAAGGACAGTAACAAAATCTTACCTGGCCTAAAATGGCTGAAATGAGAGAGGTTTTTCCACTTCCTACGCTGCCACAGATTCCAACCAGTTTCCCCTGGACAAAACACAGAGCAGAGGAAGGTTAGTCAGGTCGTACGGAGGACACAGCTCGAGGGACTCATGATCTCTTTGCAGAAAACACCACCTTAACTATTGTCCATTAATACGGGCACTGTGATCCTGACACCCACGAGTCACTTGCCTCTGTCTTCTCCCTTGTCAACCACCTACTTCACAGGGTTTCTGTGGGGATGCACTGAGGAACAGATGTGTAAGCCTTTTGGAAAAGTAAATATGCCATACGCCTTTAAGTGTCCCACATCACTTTATTTTTTTAAAGATTTGTTTATTTATGCATACAAGAACCAGGGCACAGGCCAGAGGTGTGGGGGGTGGGGGGGGGTGAGAGGACTCACCAGAGACAGAGTGGGGAGCAGAACAGGCACAGATCTACTGAAATACACTGCTGAGGGGAGCAGCGGGCGAGAAAGGAGAGGTCTGCTGCACCATGTGGGTAGCTCCCTGGCCAGCCAGGGATCGAAATCATGCTGCATAGGCTGCGAATAGCTTCACAGCACTGTGCTTATCCCTCTGTGCCACCAGAGAGGCCCCCATATCACTTTAGAATGACCTGGTTCCTTTCCTACCTTGGTGGTAATCCATGTTTTGAGATTATTTCTTTTTGTGTGTAGCTGTTTTTGAAAGAGAGAGCAGGACTCTTGATTATTATTTTATCATGATTGTGTTCCTGAGGTCTAATTATTTTCAATAAAAACTATGTGCACTGTTGGTTCTGTTTTTCTACAACACATTTCCAAGAATGTGACGCATAGCTATACCAGCAATCCCACATGAAAGTAGAAAATCAAGCCTGTGATTAACTGTGTCCTCAAGCAAAACAATGAATTCTCAATAGGCGGTGTTAAAAAGTTCTCAAGAACAGACAGATGATTTTCAAAGGCTCATATTAAAATGGGTGTTTAGCAACCCTGCATTGGCTCAAGGCTCTCAGGGAAGGCAGGCAGGAAGCGTGGTGGTGATGACAGAGCACAGATTCTGGAGGCAGATGGGTCACTGCACTTGCCAATTGTGTGATCTTGGCTTTGTTCCTTATACCAATATTGTGTCTCTCACTGGGCTTGAGTTACGTGAGGGAAGCAGTTATCCTTGGAGAATCAAATGCACTGGCTGGTACGTAATGAAAGTACATTGGACAAAGTTTTTGATATTGTTCCGGAGTTCAAAAGATTACAGCCTGGTGTTGAGGGGAAGATGAGTCACGGGTTCACACTGCACAGGCTGGCTAGGTTTATGCAGAGAAAAACGTTTGAGGTAAACAGTGACTAAAGGGGATAACAGCGAAATCAGTGCCCAGGGCACAGGTTTTGGCAAACATTAACTTCTCTCCCCTTCTCTGAGGAAAGGGATGAGGGAGAATCTTTGCATCTCTCCTCAAATCATGTGAATGTGGGCTCTAACAGTCAGAGTGAGGATCCAAAGATGGGATTAGAAGAGCAAATTTCAGCTGAATCTGAGGAATAATCCTCAATGGAGCAGATCAGTAATGTAAGACAGCTAGCTGCCTCAGTTGTCAAGATAATGTGATCTGTTGTTAAGAGTTAAGAGAAGTCAAAATTGACTTGAGTGTCTGATGATCAATGACCAACTACACCAGTTCTTTCAAGTAGTCTCCTAAGGACCAGCTTCCCCTCTTGTTCATAGCTTTCAAGAGCTGAGAGTTCCAGTTCTCTCTTCAGTCTAGCTCTGGGTCTGTGTAACAGTCCTCTCCTCAGCTCGTTTTGATATACATCCACTGGAACCTACTACTCCCTACTTCCAGTTATGTAGGTCAAAACCTTTCTTACCACCTCCATCATCATCTTTGGTTCAAGATATCTTTCTCTCTCTCCTGGGTTAACAATTCTTGCTTGCATCCTTATTTTCTTATACACTTTTCTAAACCCAAAAGCTAGAATGATTCTCTTTATACATAGAATGATCACATTGCTTTTCTGATCCAACCCCTTCAATGGCTTCTCTTCCCACTCGGGAGAAAGTCAAGGTCATCAGACTCTGACCCCCCAACAGCCTCCCTCTTATGCTTACTCTGCTCCAGAATAGGCACCCCGCAGACTCTGGGTTGCTGGGTTGCTGTTCCTTCTGCCAGGAATGTTCCAGAACAGCAACTCAGGTATCCAGGTACCACCTCCTTCAGCACTTTGCTCACAGACAACTGTTTAAATGAAGCTTTCCCATAGGCAACTTATTTGAATTGCAATTGCTCATGGCTCCCCACCCCACACTCTATCTTTGTAACTTTTTTTATCTCCATCTGATAATATATTTTACTTGTCCATCTTTGCCCAAGTATGTTCCAAGAAGAATATAAGTTCCAAGAAGGCAGGGATTCTTTATCTGTTTGATTTTTTTGCTGCTATATCCCCAGTCTTACAACAACAGTGTCTGCTACAGAGCTGGCACTCAAAAGGTGGCTGTTGAATGAACTGACCTACTGTTCATCCTTGGAACGACATAGTTTGAATTCAGTGGGTCTACTTATCCTCAGATTTTTTTCAACTTTTCCGCTTCCCGCTACTCCTCAGCCTACTCAACAGGAAGACAATGAGGATGAAGACGTTTATGATGATCCACTTAAGATTTTCATTTTTTTTAGCTTACTTTATAAGAACCAGTTTATACTACATACAGCATGTGTTAATTGACAGTGTTATCAGTAAGGCTTCTAGTCAGCAGCAGGTTATTTTAAGTTTTGGCCTTTTGGAGGGTCAAAGGTTATATGTGGATTTTTGACTGCATGGATATCAGTGCTTCTAACCCCCATATTGCTCAAGAATCAACCGTATAAAGCATCTGGGATTCTCTGGATGCTTCAGTCCTCAACACGGTGCCAGTTCCCTGTCATATTATTTATCTTAAGAGCCTTGAATTTGTATTTTCTGTTCCAGCCACTCCCTAGTGGAGGGTGTCTGAGAGCCTCCAGTCCTGTGCTACCTGGGCTATGACATCATCTACCATAATGGTCCTTTACTTACATCAAAAATAAACAATTACAATAGAACCAATGATAACAGCAGCACTGAGAGGCCCTATTAAGAGGTATGTTCTGTGCTATGCACTGGGTAATGATAACGGGAGGCTCACACAGAGACACAATACCTGGGAAGAATTTTTACAGCTTGCATACAATTAGGATAACCAGAAATCTATTCAGGGCAAACTCCGCTTGAGCGTTCCATCTCCTAGCTTGTACAAAGAGCATCTCATGAGACCAACAGTTATTCATTTGTACTGTTTAAGGCCCAAATATTCCTTTCAGAGGTGGAGCTGGCTCAGATTTAATCTTTGGCTCAAAAAATCTCTCTTAGTCTCAAAGTACTTTGCTACAAGGGATAGTAGCTGCCTACTCTTGTCAGAGTGGACATGAAGTAGACAGATGGGGTGCAGGTGGGAGCGGGGGGAGACAGAAGGGTTACCTCTCCAATTTCCAAGTCGATGTTGTACAGTGTCCTCTGCAAGCGGAGGCTCCCCAAGTGGATGTGCTTGCCCTCCTCTTCCTCGGGGCTGGGCCGCTCTTCACTGTCCAGGAGGAGGTGGCCCTTCTGCTCTGCCAGCACCTCCTGATGCTCAGTGTGCTGCAGCTGCCTTGCCTTCTCTTTCTTGCCCCTGGCAGCCCTCTTGTCTTTTTTCATTTTGGGGGTCAGCTTGGGCGAATTCTGGATACTGGAGTGGGAGGAGTCCCATGCCAAGGTGGCATTTTTCACCTCTATCGTGATGTGAGGACTGGCTGGTTTTTTCTTTATCATGTGAACCTCTTCCATTAGAAACAAACTCTGATAGGAGTTGTGAGAGAGGTGCAAAGATGAGACACTGGATCAAGACCAGGGAGACAAGCCTAGGGCGCACACTCACGTAGCAAAACACATCAGGCTATACAGTGGAAGGAAGCTGAAGGGCAAAAGGTAGCTCATTAGTGTAGCCCAGCCTCAGGTCCATGGAGAGGTCATGGGAGTGTGGGGACACCCTCAGGGGGGACAGAGCCTTGTCCATGGCCCAATATTCTACCCTACTGATTAGGTGCTAAACTGCCTTTTCCTAGTCTAGTGTGACCAAAGGACATTTAACTAACCTGCAAGCAACCTTCTCACCCCCAAGTTGCTGAGTCATGGGCAGTAAAACGCAAACAGTAAAACCAAAGGACAGGCCTCTTCTACTACACAGATCTTTATCATTCTATTTCCCTTACAGACCATTCCTGCAGAACCTACAGCCTGTGCATGTCCCCACCCACACGGAGCACATGTCTAAATGTGCTTCTTCAAAGTCCTGCCTTAGAAACATGAGAATTCAAAACTACTAAAGGAACAGACTCACAAAAGGTGAAGGGTGCCTCCCCCTCCCGGAAACATGCTCAGGAAGAGAACAAGATTCTTCCTCCTCATTCCCAGAATCCCTCCTAGTTATGTTAGGGAAGAAAAATGGAATGCTTGAAAGGGTGGTGCTTCTGAAATTAGACCTGCAACACTGGTGGTAATAAATCACAGCCCAGGTCTTAATATGTTCATGACTTTCAACCTACTTCTGACAACTTTCTTCAGCCAGTGATTTTCTCTACAGAATGTTATCTCAGTTGGATTTCCAATGTGATAAAAGACATTTTTTAATAAAAAAATTAACATTAGAAAGTATTAGAGGACTTCGCTTACTGAGAAACTCCAACTCTTCGCTTAGTTACTATAAACTCCAATATTTTAAAGGCTGTTGGTGCAAGTAAGTGTGACATACAGTCAAGCCCAAGAGCAGGCCCTTTCTCCTGAACCCTAAACTTAGAAGTTCTAACTTCTAAACTTCTAAGTTTAGCCATGGGGAAGAAAATAGAAAAGGGCTTAGGTCATGTAACAGCTGTGGGTGATTTTGTTCCTCTTATTAACTCTAAGGCTTCCTGAACAGAAGAAGGAGCTACCTGCCGATACAAGTCCTCATTAGTAAGTGAAGAGACAAGAGCTCTCAAGAAACAAGAGGAGAACAAATCTATACTGCAAGTCCTTAGCCCTTCATCCAAAATGCCACAAAGTCTGTTCATACTAACTGCAACAGGGGGACAAACATATAGTCAAAACATTTGATTTCTTCCATGACTGCATACTGTGAGTTCAGCAAGATACAGCTCTGGTTACAATCAAACTGCTTCTTTCCATTTAGCTCTGCTCTTGGCCTTGTAGCAGCCAGGCCTGGATGAGAGAGGGCATAGGGCTGGGGAAGCACTCTTGGCTTTCTCGACCAAAAGAAAATTCACCTGGTTAACTAAACAAGTAGAATATACATAAATTTTATAAGCAAATAAATCTCCATTCTTCTTAAGAGGAAAATCCAATTTGTTTTCTCCCAAACATCTAAGGTGATATTTATCTTGCAAACATTGGGTTTCAAGCTTAAACTTAAGTCACCAGCACTGCTTCTGTACTGTTCTCACTGGCCAAGAAGGATTAGCGCACAGGAGCTACCTGGTATGAAGAAGTGTGAAGGCATTCCCGCCCACTCAACTGCTGCTCCTTTTTTGGGTAAACATTGACCACTTTCAAATATCTATCTCCCTTATAATCCCCCAACTACAGCTCCCTCTTATATCACATGTTTGTGTTATTCTGTAGACACAGAATAATAGTCAAGGTATGACCCAATTAACCACTTGCAAGAGAAAACTCACTTAACTGTGATTCTCAACATGATCTAGTTTTAGAACTATTCCCACATCATTCATTCCTAGTATCATGAGTGGCAACCTCAGAGCAAGATAAAGAAATTATGGAAAATGGCTTAGCATGTGGACCAATCAAAATGATACCATTATGGTAGTAGTAGATGGTAGTTCAAGGTGGGAAAAGCTGACAGTCACCTGACACTTCCGATCTTCTAGGTAAGCCATTGACAAAGGGCAAAAATCTATATTTATTTGAAAAGATAACTAGTCTCAACCCTTAACTCAATTTCCTACACTGTTGCTGCCTTTCATGCCCAAGGTGAATAAAAGCCAAAGCATCCAGCCTTGTGTGGCTCATTAGAATAAAAGTAGCAGTTAGTTTACCAGCCACAACTCCTGACATGGAGGCAGGGAGCCAAGCCACTTACCTTAAATCTGTCAACAGCAACTGATGCTTCAGAGAGGGATTTTACTGAGAACGGTGTTACTTTCAAAGCAAAAGTCATGGAGTTGAAGACAGTTACCACTGTGAAAGCCTAAGAATTGGAAAAGAGGAGAAACTGAGCCTGGTTGAGTTATGCACCTAAAATAACAGGACATTGTCAATTTTCTTTCAGGTTTAAGGAAAGTTGAAAATGTTGGTATGAGCCAGATACATTTTTCTGAAGGTAAAGTTTTTAAAGATTTATTTATTTATTTATTCAAGCACTGGGTACAGTCAGAAGCGTGGGAGGGTGAGAGAATTCACCAGAGCCAGAGCGGGGAGCAGAACAGGCAGACTGAAGCAGAAGTACACTGCTGAGGGGAGCAGCGGGCGGCAGAAGTCTGCGCGCCATGTGGGACCCTCGCCAGTGGCCGGGGATCGAACTGGCGCGCCAAAGGCTGCGGGCAGCTTCGCAGCCCAGCGCTCAACCGCTGCGCCACCGGGGGAGGCCCTGAAGGTAAAGTTTTTATGAGACCTTTAATTAAAATTCTCAGTAAATCTGAACCAAGGATAATCCTTATTTTCAGAATTAAATCCAAAGTTGGGTAGACTTACAAAGAAACCATATACTGTTTACATATTAGGATTGAACCCCTACTCTTCCACTTGTTGGTTTAATCACATGGATGAAAATGCCTTTTGATTACATCTTGAGGAAGCCTCCAAATCTGGTACCAAGAGCATTAGAGTGTCTCTGTTTGTGGTACTTCCACAATGTCCCCACTTCTCGAGAACTCACTGACCTGTGCAGCCGTCAGATCGAAGCCAAGGTTCATGTGAACAGAGAAGGTCACCACGCTGGCAATAACCATCACAATAGGAGCCACGCCGACCGTGATGCTCTGAAAGTACCCTGCTTTCTCCAATATCCTGTGCTCCTCCTCTCGGATCTCTAAGAATAAAAAGCAAGTCAATTTCTATGAAGCAACCCAATCACAGCAACTCAAAGAAACCACAGAATAGTACTCCTCTGCCACCAAACCAAACCTGGTAGGTCGTTAGCCATACAAACGTTTTAAAACGACCCCCTAAATGCCTCTGATGCAAAAATTAGGTACACATGACAATCAGTGCCACCACTAGTCAACCAAAACTGCATTAACTTTCAACTGCAGCATATTTAAGTTAGCACAGTGATGACTTTATGGTCAATTATAGTTTACATCTTTTATACTTAAATTAAGTTTAAATGAATTATATCTTATTTTTTAGATTCTACAAAGTGCCTTGAAACACAGTCACCTTTTTAATGTTCCAACTTTTGATAAGATCTTTTCGACTGTCCAACCAGCCTGTGATTTATTCCTCCAAGCTCTGTGATGTTTATGGTTTATCTTTGTGTTGAATTTATGGATCAGAATAGGGCTAGCCACTGAGAACTTTGTAACTCAACATAAATCATTATTTGAAAAAGTTACAAAAGCCAGCCTGCAGTGCAGAAATGGCTGAGCTAGGCTCAGAGGTCAGTTGTCCTGATTCCTAATTCAGGGCACACCCACAACCTCCCCCACCTCCTCTCCCACCTCTCAACCCCTACTCCATCCTCCCTACCTCACCCCTGGATCTCATGCTTAACCACCTTCGGGGCACATGAACCCAGAGTGAGGGCAGAAGTGAGACTCTCAGCAGTCACGTGATGCTGTTTACTGTGATGTCCTCATAGCCAGACCAGAAAATTATGGGCAGGATGAGAGAATGACAGGGGGGTTTGAAATCATAACTGGCTAAATTATCATGGGAAACAGTCACAATTTTGTTGGGTCTCAATTTCTTCATCATAAGCTGTTAAAAGAACATCAGCTATTAGATACTATGATCCCATGACATTAGGATTCCTGGCAGTTAATGTGCTCAGGAAGCAACGATAAACTCCTTCTACTGCATGAACATAGGAAGTAGTTAAACTTACTTTGAACAATCTGAGAAAATGCCTTGACCCAGGCATACATTTTAATAAATTTAATGTAGGTGACGACTTCACTCATCTTTTGGACACGGTCATCTGTTGTGGCCACACATTTTCTCCTGAAATAGGCAGTGATCCGTGATGCAAACATCTGGGAGGAAAAGCAACGTCACGCCAAATCAGAGCTCACACAAACTTAAGAACCGCCTACTTTTTCAAGGATGTAAAGCTATTTAAGATGACTGTAAATAAAATGAACATCGTGTACCTGTACTTTCTGTTTTTTTAAAAAGGGGTCTTTTAAATTATTATTTTTTATTTTTTACATCATTGTTCATTTTTAAACAATATTTGCTTCCCCCCACCTCCTCAGGTGTAGTCCCCATAGAGTTTCCTTTCCCAATGCACCCGTGCACCATCACCTCAGTCCCCTGTGCTCCTCCCTCCCTCCCTCTGATCTTTTAAATAATAACAAAATCTCATTAGGAACTGCTGCCTTTACTTAAGTGATACTTTACTACCTCTCATGTGAAAATTCTGCCTGTATAGACTGAGCACTATCAAGCTTTTTCTAGGCTTTTCCAAACCAAGAACCTGCTTTGAGGAAATTTCCACTGGAGCGGTGAAACTTCGGGGATGCCTATTATATATAACCCAGTGAAAACACCTCATCTAAGGTGAAGCTGTGAAAATACAGCAGAGAGGCTTACTCACCATTGCTGGATAAAAGAGGATAAAAACAGCTGATCCCAGGAAGCCTGTAGGTCCCAGAATAATTACATTATAAATCATGCCCAAGATGGCAACAACGGGTCCTCCAGCCAACAAGCTGCCAACAGCAGCTGCCTCAAACATCCTCTGCCCGTCATTGGAGCACAAGTTTATGAGCTACGAGACACAAAGCGCAGTGAGGGGCCCTGTGAGGACGCAGGCCACTGTCTCAGGGGGAAGATGAAGGACAAAGCAGGGCCCAGTGGAAAGTGTTCAAGCTGGGAGCTTTCCCTTCACCCCTTACTCACCTCACCCATGGACTTCTCTTTAATGTTTTTCAACTTAAGGATCTTCTTAAATGCCATGGTTAGGATGGCCCCCCGCAAGCGGACACCGGTTCGGTAATTCAATGCCCAAGTCAGTGCAAGTGACCAAGAGCGCACGATCTCTGTCAGGAGGAGGCCCAGGACCAACAGCAAGCTGTACTTGAGGTTGGAGTCTGCGACCTGGGCGTACTCCAAGAGGTGCTTCACCACGAAGGCCTACAGGAAGAAACACACACCACCGTCAGCACCGCCACCACACTCACACACCACGCCACAGTTTTATGTTAAGTTAGAAAGAGGAGGCAGGTCCAACGCACAGTGACAGGCGCATAAGCAGAGAAAACCTTCCTGGGGGACCAGCTACTACTGACAACCTGCTGCAGCGATTTTACAGGACATTCTGCAGGAGGAAGGTCTACTTGGAAACGCTCTTCCTTGAGGATACCACCAAAGCCTTTACTCTTTCTAATGTAACATAAACCTGTCCATGAGCTGAAATTAATTCTAAACACCATCATTAAAAAGTATATATTTGACCTTACTCCGGTATCGCCACACATTGGTATATTTCTTTAAATGAAATTAAGACCTTTTGGGGGGACTGTTTCAAACGTGCTTATTTGATAAAAAGGAACAGTGTACCTACAGTTGTACTGGGGAAGAGTGAGAAGTGCATTTGCAAAACATTCCTGAAAATAAACATCAGCAGTTTAATAGTACAGAAGACAGCAAACAAAGCAGACTATCAAAAATCCAGAGACCCTCCCTCAGGCCCTCCCCTCGCCCCACTCCCTCCCAAAAACAAAAACATGTTACCTCAGGAGGCATATGTCTAACACCACCTGCAGTGAGGAAAGGCAGCCAGCCCCCAAGAACCACCGAGTGCCACCTCCAGCTCTGAGGTCCTGCAACGCCGGAGCACACACTCACACAAGGCACATTCAACAACAGGATTGAATACCAGGAAGTGGGAGGTAATGTACTTTTATTGAAAATGAAAAAAATAAATAAATAAAAGTACCATCTTCAAAGAGCATCTCACAGAGACTGTACAACAGGAGGTGCATTGCGGTAACATACATGGGAACATACAGAGTCGAGTTATACAGGGCTCGCCATCTAACAGGTCATCTGGCCTCCGACTGTTGTTTTAACTACACACAGTGGAAATACAGAATAGAACCCATATCTGTTCCCAGAGTCCGGAGCAGTACATCAAGCTGTCAGCACTTAATCAGTTAGGGCTTTTGAGGTTGCTGTGAGTCTACGGTGGAGTAGATTCTCCAGGAATAGACCTTGCTGCTAAGGAAAGAGAATTTAAAAACAAAACAAAACTGAAAACTCTCCAAAGAGGTAACTGCTTAAAATTGCTGGTGCTATTGGTTCACTAGGCTGAGGAATGACCTCTGTTCAGGACAGAATACAAAAATCTAGGCCTCAAGGAAAAACGGAAGGCATCTTTCAGAGTCTTTTCAAGTCCTTGAAGCTAAAATCGATCTTGTCGAAAATGAAACAAAACGAACCACAAGAAAAGAAAGCCAAACCAAACCCCCACTCTGAAGGAAGAAAAAAAAATTAACCAGAAGCCCATCCATCCATCTGCCCCATCCTCAGAGCAGAGAGGCTGTAGCTGGAATCCAGCGCTGAGTGACAGACAAAAATGGAGGCCAGACACAACTGTCCGGAGGCAGCTAACTCTGAATTCCAGAACCCAGATTCTCTCTGGGTTCATTGGTATTTCTCATTTTTCCTGAGAGAAAATGAATACCAGATGTCCACTAGATCCTAAGAGATCCCCACCCAATCAGCTTTATGTCAAGTCTCAGTAAATAACCTGATCAAGTAAATATGAGATTTCAGATTCCAAGAACTATTGTATTCCGTATCTCCCCTCCCTCAGATTTTTTAGGTTTATATCCATTGTTTGGGTCACCACTGTATACAGCTGGGTTGTTGGTTTACTAGCAAGAAGATTGGCTTCTTTTCCAGTATGCAATCCAAAATGTGGAACTGAGTCACTGAGTGGCAGGGTCAAAACCCCATTTTCCTCACGTGAAGCAACTCAGTAAGATGGCGGTGCAGTAAAGCATTTTCTCACACACCTCGGCACTGATGGAACAGTCTCCAAAGGAAGGCGTGAAAAGACAGCAGGTTGTAGTTTGGGATTCCTTCCTTCCCATACCTTTACAGTGCCATTTTCAGCACTGGGGTAAGAACATTAGCACCTCCCAGAGGGCAGGAGCAGAGGGAAGGTAAAGACATAATGAATGCTTACACTATGCAAAACTTGCAAAAGGGGGGAAAAGAGGAAACAGCAGATTAAAGAATTTCCAACACAGAGGGTTTTAAAAAAAGAAGACAATTACATTTCAAACCATTGTGCATGGGATAAAGAAAAAAAGTTTTCATGAAAAATCCAAACAAAATTTAGTTTTATAAAGTTACAAATGTATCATTTAAATTTAAACTAACTGGGAGAAAAACTCGAGATTGTCAGCATAGCTGTCTGGCTGTGGAAAGCATTCCCAGTGAATAAACATTACCTTACCTGAACTCTTGGCGAGAGATTCTGCCCAGCTTGACTCTCTCATTCTGACCGCAGAATACAGCCATCCTGAAAATTCTAAAGAACAGCTTCTGTCACTGGTTCCACTACAGAGAGACTCCCCCCAAATCCAGATCCTGACAGCAACAAGCAAGCTGCAGCTGGAGAGAGGTTGGAGGGGTGGGTAACTTACCTCTCTAAAGATTTTTCTCTGTCCTGGCCCCAATAGGCTCTTAGGTAGAATTAGCATTCACCCAGAGACAGCACTGCAGGAGGGAGCCTTCTCTTGCAGATCTACAGGGCGGATGCTAATTCTTTACACACAAATAATAGGTCAGGCCTGGTCTTTGAAAACTGTCTTACTCCAAGAAGGTCAAAACTCATCTCTATAAATTTAGCCATCTGGTCACCCATCTGGCCAATTCGGCCACCCAATCCGACCACTCATATAGGAGGACCATACCCCTATATAGATTCTGGAACTCCCATTATCATTATGTGATCCCAGAAAGCCCTGCACAGAGTGCCAGGCCACTGGCATCACAGAAACCTTGGATCATCTGGATGTAGGAATGTTTAGCTGGCTAGCAGCTTTAAAAAAGCAAGTACATACAATAACTTGACTGTTTCATTTGTTCTGCATAGGGGCTAGCAAGGTTCAGTGAGGCCTGAGAGGAAAGGAAATCTGGGGAGTCAGTTCTTAAGTACATTTCTGTGAGAACAGACAAATAAGCCAGTTCGAAAGTGGTGCCATATTAGCAAATGTACAAAAAATCCAAAATGGATGTTCCTCAAAAGGATTTAAATCCACATAGAAGGTATGCTCATTGCTAGTACGCATCTCCAAACCAGCCTGAGTGTTCAATTTCCAATTAAACAGAAATTTATTAGAATTGGAGGGCCAAAAGAAGTTGTCTTTCTTGCTTACAATTTTAAAACTTTTTGTCAATTAGAGACTCTGGACAGGACCATTTGCTTTCTCGAGTGTTCTAGGACAGGATCTCATGAAATAACAGGTCTGAAGGCGCTTCCCCACGAGGGTTAACAGAAGGAAAAGCGTGCTGCTGTTTTCCTATTTAAGGATGGCTCTCGGCTTTCCCTGGCTTCTAGAAGAGTTTACTAGAGATTAGTATTCCAGTGTACTGCACCCTAAAAGAGAGATTAAGGAATATGCAGGCCCTCAAGGGAGTGACTGTAGCCCCCAAGCTGAACATGCAAAGGGAACTTTTTTCCCTACGTAAAAAAATTAAAATCAAATCCCAGCAACCTCTGGAATTTGGGGTGGGGGGAGTCAATGAAGTTCTTTCATTGGCCAAATGGAATCAGGAAAGTCTGTGCACCTCACTACCCAGCTGAAAGAATTCTATAAAAGATGAAAGCGGCCACCAGCCCTGTAGTGAAACAATGACAGAAGCTCTTCTTGGGGGAAGCTGGTCCTACAAAAACGTTTGCCATTTTGGTCAATAACATAACATTTAGTTACATGGTCCCTATGACTTAAAACTCATACAAAAGTTTGTTAGTTGTCAACAAATATCGAAACCCAGTATCAGACAAGTAGTGTTTTCTGCTTCAGAAGAGAGATAAAGTATTTTTTTTAAAGTTCATTAAACATTTTTAAAAAATGAACAGAAAAACTGCAAATTAGTTTTACCTAATCACCATGCATCTTAGGCACATACTTACCAAAACCATGAACCTCCAGCTTACCCACACACGGAAAATGCATAGTATAAGTAGTACTACTGCTCCAATGCCTCAAGGCAAATATGCAGAGAATAGATTTAATCAAAGTCTTAAGTACAAGGCAGCACAGCAGGTGTAAGAAACAGGTGTCTGGAAACCAGTGTGAACATCACTCTTACCTACTCTGCTTCAGTACAGACTAGGAACAAACCACAACTGCCTCCCAGACAACTTGCCACACAGCTTATACTATAAACCAAGACTGAAAATGAACTTCAGGTTAGACTCTAAAAACCTCAACAGTCTTCTAGTTTCTTCGGGGCTCATCTGCCACAGAACGTCTACATGTGACGACGCTGCCTCCAGTCACCACGTGTCACCAGCACTCGCGCTCAGCAGCCTGAGCCACACCGCGCCGCTGTGGCCCATGGGAAGCGCTGTGAGACACATCTTCCCGAACCAAGATGTCATTTCATGTCAACGCACAGCAGCGAAGCGCGGTCCTATGCAGAGCTAGAATCATTGCTTTGCCCCCACCCCAGGAAAGCAAGCCAGTTCCATTTCTTCCCTGGCAAACACAGCCCCCTTTATCCTTCCAGTCACCATTCACTCCAAAACCAACTCTTCCTTTCAACAGACCCGAAAGGCATCGCTAAGGCTGCTAACTAGCCCAAAGGTGAGCACAACCCCTGCAACAAAACAAGAGTGTTAGCGCTGGCCATGGGCGGGCCCCTGGAGACTGTCAGAAAGGATGGTTAGAACTTACTGGTCCACTGAAGCCAGCCAGCTGTGTGATCATCAGGCACACGATGGAGAGGATGAGCCTGGTGCGGCAGAAGATCCACACAACCCTTCGCAGGGAAGCAGCGTCTGGCCCAACTTCAGTCAGCTCTTCTTGCCACAGTCTCTCTAGTCTTAACAAGGGCACATGTCCTCCGTTACACATCTCCCCACTGAAGGCACACACCCTCGCTTCCCTCCTGCCATCGCTTTCTGTCTCCAGGCCCGGACACCACTCACACAAGTTTCTCCTTTAATAGTATGTACATAGTCTTCACCTTCTGGAAAAAAATGCCCTTCCTGGGTAACTACATATTTACCCTGTACAGGGAGCCTCTCAGGATACAGAAAATGATGAGACCAAAAGTATGTCCTTCCACCCAGAAAAATTACCCCCACATAGAATTTGTGGATAAGAACTTCCTTCCTCAAGGGTCCCCCCACCCTTTCTGAAGGATCCTGTGGTAAAAATGTAAAGTTGTAAACTAGGTTTTAACCATGACAATCAGCTACCACAAAAAATGTATTCTGTCACAAGGCAGCAACATAATCTCCCTGCAGACTCAGGAAGGGAAGCGGGGCTGAGAGAGAGAGAGAAAGCCCGTGGTTAAAACAGGGTTAAAGGTGAAATAGGAGGTAAAACAGAAGAGCAAAGAGAAAGTCATCCCCAGGCTACCCTCCCTCCACAGGAAAGCTCAGATCTGAAAAGGACACAGAGCTGCGGGCCTCACGCTGACGGACCCACACTCCCAGCTCAGGCCTCACACAGCCCGTATGTGGGAGGCCAGGGCGAACTGGAGACGCCTACCTTCTGCAGTTCACATCAGAAGACTCGTACTTGGACAAAGACCACACGTCATCCATCGAGAGCTCCCCTTTCCTGTGGGCCATGCGGGCCAGAGGAGACAGCCAAGAAAAAGTCATACAGGAGAAGAGCCCAGCATTGTCCACTGGGTGCTGGTGTCTGAGGAGAGAAAACCCACAGCACAGAACTGTCAACACATGGAGACACTAGCCAGCATTTATAACATGCTATTTAGTAAACAGAGCTCCTGATTAATAACAGGTCTGTCTAAAGGATCTAATCTTAACCCACACTTTCAAAAACGCTTTGGAGCTTTGTGGACAAGTCTTGAACTGCAAGGCCTCTTACTTGGAAGTGTTCCGGATAGGCTTCAGAGCACTTAAGCTATGATGGTACTTTCCCTTGGGATGGTCCTCATCCAGGATTCTGAGCTGAGAATGCACAGAGACATCCATGGAAAGGCCCTCGGCTCGGGCTGCTGTTTCCAAGGCATCTTGGCATTCCAGCTGTTTCAACAGAAAGGGAGAAAAGAACATGGTCTAAGCACATCAGAAAAGCAAATCTACCTGATTTAACAGAGCAAAGTGCAACCCAGACTCATCTTAACTGAGAAATCCCCAGGGTCAGGGGGATAAACACTAATCGTATAACAGGAACTTGCTGAGGAACATTAAACCAGATACTTAGGGCCTCCCTGGTGGCACAGCAGTTGAGCGCTGGGTTGCGACGCTGCCCGCAGCCTCTGCAGCGCCGGTTCGATCCCCAGCTGCTCCCCGGCCACCGGAGGAGGGTCCCACATGGCGCGCAGACCTCTCCTGCCGCCCGCTGCTCCCCTCAGCCGTGTACTTCGGTCCTTCTGCCTGCTCTGCTCCCTGATCTGGCTCTGGTGAATTCTCTTACCCTCCCGCACTTCTGACTGTACCCAGTGCTTGTATAAATAAATAAATAAATCTTTTTAAAAAACCAAACAAACAAAAAAAACCAGATACTTAAACTTTGAAACTGACAGACTTCATTTGGGGGGCACTTTCAGGTTCAAAAATATTAAACCGAAAGCACAGAGAGTACTCTCCTACCTCCTCATCTCCATTCCCCCGCCATCTGATTCTTCTTTCATCAACATCTTGCACGAATGTAGTACATTTGTTACAAGTGATGAGCCGAAACTTGTATATTAACATTAACTAAAAGCCATGGTTTACACTAGGATTCACTGTGTTATACACTGAAAGATTTGTGTTTTTATTTATTCTTTTAATTGAATTTTTAAAATTATTCTTCTAATTGAATTTTTTAAAGATTTATTTTATTTATTCATGCATACAAGAGCTGGGGGATAGGACAGAGGATTCATCAGAGACAGAGTGGGGCAGAGAACTGGCAGATTGACTGAAATGCACTGCTGAGGGAAGCAGAGGGTGAGAAAGGAGAGGTTTGCTGTGCCATGTGGGTAGCTTCCAGGCTGGAGATCGAACTCATGCCACAGTGGCTGCTAGTAGCTTCATAGTGTTGAGACTTAACCCCTTGCACCACCAGGGAGGCCCCAAATTTGTGTTTTTAATCATCAAAATGTTTTTCATTTTCCAATGTGGACAGAGAGTCAGTACTTAACTACTATCTGCAAATTCTATTGCCCATTTTCTATGATGAAATTAATTGCCAATTAAACAGCCCTGTCAGGCAGAAAAAGTCAGATGTACACATACCACCTCCCTCTGCTTCATCCTGCCTACACAGCTCACAGGTATCAATGTCCAGATTTCTGCCCCATGAAACCAAGGGTCTCATACGTTGAAATACAAAGTTACACATATTCACTACAGAGTTTATGAATACCAGTTACTCACATTAATAAAAATGCATGGCACTCAAAGTTTGACTATGGCAGAAGTGGGTAGGCCAACAATCTGGACACAGCTATCTCCCTATACTCTTTTTTTTTTTTTTTTAAGATTTACTTATTTATTTATTTATACAAGCACTGGGTACAGTCAGAAGCACGGGAGGGTGAGAGAATTCACCAGAGCCAGAGCGGGGAGCAGAGCAGGCAGAAGGACCGAAGTACACTGCTGAGGGGAGCAGCGGGCGGCAGGAGAGGTCTGTGCGCCATGTGGGACCCTCCTCCAGTGGCCGGGGAGCAACCTGGGATTGAACCAACGTTGCAGAGGCTGCGGGCAGCTTCGCAACCCAGCGCTCAACCGCTGCGCCACCAGGGAGGCCCTATCCCCCTATACTCTTAAAAGTAACTTAGTTTATACTTTCTTGTGGTAGAGGCAAAGGCATTATTTTCCTCATATAAGAAATAAGCACTATCATCCCTTCCTCACATTTTCACAAATATTTCTAGCAATCAGAATGAAATAGCAAGAAAGAATAGATCTCCAAGCCAAGGAAAAGTTCAGTGATGCAACACCTAATACACTGCCTTACACACAGCAGTCTTGGTTTTATGTGGCTTTCCATGCAAAAGAGACAATTCAAATATTAGCTGAACTAAAAAGGCAGAATTCACGTACAAGGGTGACCTAGGTCCCTCAAATACAATAGCTTTAGTTCTAGCAGCCGTCAGTCTTCACCTATGATAAAGCACTGCTGGTCAGGAGACCCCCAGTCCTGGCAACTGGGAAGCATATTCTTTTCCTTTTGTCAAAGGCAAAGAAGACCCATTTCAAGAGAATAACAACACAATGACAAATGAGTCAACACCAAGAATAAACTCACATCAGGTCCTTGGGTATAAGGTAAACTCTTTTTAGTGAGTATGATCTGTGGTGCCTTATCACACACTAAAGGTGGCTGAGATTCGAGTCCCCAACAAAGGTTTTTCTTAGTTTAAGCTCTCTATAGCCACAAGGGGAAGAACAGGGCTGAGATACACTAAAAATACAAACATATCTACTATAAGTAAGTAGAAACTGGGAATATGTACAAGGTGGATACAGAAAAGTACACAGGCCAGCATTATTTGGATATTCAAAGCTTCTGAAGAAGACAAAAAATTAAAATAATGCCACATTATGTATATCTGTCCAAATGGACTATGTCCTGGGCCATAACCTCAACAAATTTCAGAAGACTGACATCATACAAGTGGATTTACTCTGACCACTTCACTTTGGGATTTAATTAGAATTCAGTAGCAAAGAACATGAGAATCTCCTATATTCTGAAATTATGTAACTTAACTTCTAAATAATATGAGTTAAAGAAGATAATTAATGGAAAGCAGTAAATATTCTGAGCTAAGAAACTATAACACATCAAAATTTGCTGGATGGAGCTGAAGAGGAGCACAGAGTAAAATATGAATGCTTTCCAAGGGCACATTAGAAAAGAAGAAGGAATGATAAATCATTGTTCTAAGCTAGGCATTAGCAACATTTTCTAATAAGGGCCAGAGAGTAAATATTTCAGGCTTTGTGAGCTAAGAGGTAAAAATGAGGATGTTATGTAGGTACATACATTACAAAAGAAAACATTTCCACAAAATATTTATTGACAACATTCAAAATTTAGTAATGGTAATCGAGTACAAGTTTTTTTAATACAGGTCTACTATTGAGAAGAATGGTATTCTTTCATGAGAGAATAACATTTCACACCTAATTAAGCCAGGAAGTTTAAAATAGTTTTTTTCTTTCATCAAAATCAATTACAAATCTCTCTTTCTGTTAATGCTGATTTGTAATGGAGATTTTACAACTGCATCTTTGAAAATGTCTTTGCATACTGCTAGGTACTGCCAAATACTGAAAATCAATCCATGAGTATCTGATTTTAATTGACCATATTCATCTCTTGGAAGGCACTATAGAACTCTATTAGATTTTTTTCTCTTGACATTTGCCTTTATCATATCATTACATGACAGATTAGTCACTTACAACTGAAAGTTGAGTGGAAGCTACTGAATGGTACAACTAAACATTCTTTTATTGTGGCAAAATAAATGTAATAAAATTTGCCTTTTTTTTTTTTTACCATTTTTAAGTGTACAATTCAGGAGCATTAATCATATTCACGATGTTGTACAACTATGATCACTATTTCTAAAATAAATGGATTTTGAAGTATGGAGTTTCCTTTGTATTTCATTGAAGGTCTGAGACACGCTGCTGGAACTGTAATTTAAGCTCAGAAAATACACCCACTACAAATTTGTATGGCAATAAATATCTCACTTCTTATTTCAACTTTCGACAGCATGAGAAGCACATAAACAGCCTGACATTACTTATGATTCAAACATTAGTTATCATTAAAATTACTTTTTCACAGCACCATGTGACATTTCCACTAGCAATGTGTGAGAGATGCAGTTTCTCTACATCCATCATCACCTGGTATTATCATTTTTTTATTGGCCACTAAAATAGGTGTGGTTTGGTATCTCATCCTACACCAAATTTTTATTTACATTATGTTAGTGGTTAATGTTGTCTGACTTTGTTGCCCATGCTTACTTGCCACCCTTAAAACTTTTTTGGTGAACAGAATTTTTTGCCCATTTTTTTAATTAACATGTAATGGATTTAGCTAAAGATTTCATTCTGATATTTCTATCCACTTTCTAAGTGAATTGTTTTCTTAGTATTAAGTTTAGAGAGTTCTTTGTTATGAATTCAGGTCCTTTATCAGATGACTTGCAAATACTTTCTCTCAGTTTATGGTATATATTTATCCTCTTAATAGGGTCATTCACAGAGCAAACGTTTTAAATTTTAATCAAGTTTAATTTATTAATTTTTATTCTTTTAAGGAATGTGCTTTTAGTGCCATGTCTAAGAACTCTTCGTGTAACCCTATTTCATGAATATTTTCTCTTTTCCTCTAGAAGTTTGATGGCTTTACACTTGTACCTATCATTTACCCTAAATAATTTGTGTATGATATATTAAGATTTAGGTAAAGGTTCAATTTTTTTGTTTTTGCAGACAGATAACTAATTGTTCTAATACTATCTGTTGAAAAGACTATCATCTCACCATTCAACTGCTTATGGCACCTATGTGAAAAACAATCAAACATACCTGTATGGGTCTATTTCTAAACTCTATCCCATTGACTTATTTGTCTGTCCCTTCACTGATACCACTAATTTGATTACTGTAGCTATATTAAGCCTTAAAAGAGGATAGTGTGGTATCTCCAACTTTATTCTTCCTTTCCAAATCAGTTTTGCTACTGCAGTTCTTTTTTCCAGGATAACCAAATTTTATAACATCTTTTGACATTGGAGCAACAGAAAAGGAAAACTTGGTATACCTTTGATTATTCTTACATGAGAATAGCATAACTGCATTAAGAGAAAACTGAGATTTTCACACCTCCTTTCATTCATTCTTTCAACAAATAAACTATACTTGTACTTACATGCAAGACTGTTCTAGATGCTAGAAATATTTGCTACTGGAGTATTCTATGTATGGAGTACAATGATTTCATTTTTTTCATCTTTAAGATGCCTAGTCACAGTTTTCATGAAAGTAAATGAACAGAAGAGTAA